AGCACAAGCCAGTGAGTCTATGCCTACTGACAGCTGCAGGAAAAGGGAGGGCTGTGGGAGGGACAGCCTCCTATTACAGTAATACTGATTGCCAGCAGCACTTTTCAAAACACGGATCCAGCTTGCTGGGCATCCTTAAAATCAACAGTTCTTGGAGGAGGTCATCTGATCAACTGAACAGAAATCCAGTTTGCTGCATTCAGACAAAGATGCAGTTACAACATCCGAGGGTTTGGGAATTGGCTAGAAAGTCTGGAGTGCTTCGGCTTTAACTGGGATTCATTTCTGTGTACAGTCATCCTCCTAATACTTTAGAGCCATCAGCTGTAAAGAGATCTTAGACTTCACAGACTGCTTATGATTAATTGCCTGAAAATGTTGTAAAAGTTAGGGATTCTGTTCCAAGGTGAAATAACTGGAGTGCTCTAGCCTGGAACCAGACAGACAGGGAAAGATGTATGGTAATTCGTGCAGAGCACTTCTCTGAAATAGGCATGGCACAGAGCAAGGCTTTAGACTCCTACCTTTTACAAACATGACCTAACTGTGCTCCTTGGGTTCCACATGATTTTAATGAGGCAAAAATGATCAAAATGTCATGACCTCTGTTCTTCCTTGTCCTAAATTCTGGATAATGGAAATGAAGAGGAGCTTAGCTAGGTTGTATTTAGCAGATCACACAGAATGGAATAGCTTTAAGATCATGAAATAAAAGGTTTAAAATAAAATACTGTGAATTCAGAGTAGTTATCCCCCCATATTCCACAGAATCAGATTATATAAGCAAGTATGCTTTTCCTAATGTTGCAATTCATTTGAGTATTAACCAATTCCTCTTCACTAACACAATTTCCTAAATGGTTGAGAAGCTGGTTCTTTAATTAGTAACTGTTACCTTGTAAATAGTGATCAGGATCTCACACATTATCCAGGCACTTTGTCTTTATTAAAAATATTTATTATTTGTAGGCACAATATACTAGAAACAGTAGTTACAAGGTATTATAGGTATGTAGGCACAGGCTACGAAAACAGCCAGAAATGTTATTCAAAGGTGCTTTAGATCAAACAATCCCAGATTTCCAGGCAATCTCCTAGCTCACAAAAATGACACCTTCAGCTAGTCCTCACTCATACACAAGTTGGCTTCCGTGCAGTACCAGCCCTTGCATGTGTAAACTCTGAAACAGTCTCCAGGCAGCCAGAAATCAAACACAAAATAGCAGCAGTCACAAACATCAGAAAACATTAATCAGAAAGTTCAGTTGTCATTGCCTTTTTTCTCTCTATCTAGATATGACCATTTCAGTGTATAAAGAGAATAAATGCAATAGCCACTAATGTCTGTTTCCAAGACTGGTGCATGAGCATGAAAATACAAAAAAAAAAAATAAAAATCATTCCTCTTTAAAGCTAAAACATCTGAAACAGCCTCCATCTTCTTGCTGACTTGGGATTTTACCAAGAAGAAAGTTGCACAATACAAAGCAGTTGACTACACATGTAATCAATGTCAAGACTCAGCAGAAATTCATATTGTGAAGAAGTTATTTTTATGACTTGAGAGTTGCTGAATTTTGCAGCTTTTTTCAATCACTTTGAAATGTACTCGTCAATTGATGACAATTTTCTCAAAGAATTTTATATATTTGTACCTACTAATTATTTGATTTCTAGCAGTGTGACTAGTACTTTGAAAAAAAAATATCTTTTTTTCATCTAAATAGAATCTATTGCTGATAATAAGGGAGATTCACATGCAAGTTACTTGGAAGTGTTGGGTGCCTCACATCATATGCTTTGAGCTTGATCTTTCAAGATGCTAAGCACCTGCGGTTTTTAGCAACTTCAAGCAAGAAACTGGTGTCCTGGACTCAGCTGCTTATGTAGGGACAGACAACTGTTGTATGGATAACACGTTTTTTTCTCCGTACAAGGAACACAGAATATTTTACGCATTGGGCTGGAGTGGATTTAAAGCTGCAAAAGAGAGTCCTGGACAGTGCCAGTCACTTCACTGTGATTCACAAAAACTACCAGATGACAACAGATGAGGGCCAGGTATTTTTCTGAAAGTTTTCATTGACCAAATCTCTAGACTGCAAGTAAATCTTGCATCTTCTACGTATAAAGTTAAACCTGCGGGGTCTGCTTTCTTTTTTTTTTTAAACAGTACTCCTTTCACCTTCGAAAGAGGAAGAGGCTGTTTCCATTTTTAGTCTGAAATTCTTTGAAGTATTCCTGCTCCATAGAACAGGGATCTGGATAGAATTTGACAAAAAATTAATTCCTCGTTTTAGGTTTGGTTTCAGCCATAAAGAAGTTAATGAGATCACATCTGTTTTTGTCCTGATATACTCTACAGCAGCCCACTGGAAACAGCACCATTTGCTTACAGCTTTTCTTTTATTCCAAACAGAACCTAATCCAGCCTAAATAAGTGTTCTTAAATGCATCCATAGCAAGACTGCCATATGAGCCAATTCACAACCACTGTGGTGATGTTACTTACCATAGTTACAATTAAAGAGTTGCTTGCAGTTTCTCAACAACGGCTAGATAATATTTAGACAGACCTTAAAAACATTTTCTTTGGCATACAACAGACTGAAGAAACATCACAAAAAAAATACCAAAAACTTCATTCCACAAGTAACATTTGAATACTGACACATCTGGAACAGCTGGGTAACAAGTTGTGCGTGTCAAGTTTAGAAAGCAGCTGCTTTTAGCCTTCATTTTGGGCCAGACATTTGCTTTCAGCCACCAGTATATTCCATTTTATTTTGTAGCAGCTTCTGCAGTGTTCCCATATGGACAAGCTAAACAGCTCCAAGGATATAACAGCAAGTATATATAATGTTCTTTAGAAGAAATGAAGGCCAGATGTTGCTTTGTTATCTTCACATGCATCCTTAAAAAAGTTAAATTGTTTCAGATATATTATTAATGCCAGGTATAGGCAATTTGTTCATTGGCCATTTAAATGTCAACTTTCCAAAGGATGGAAAATAACATTTTAACTGAGGATTCGAACTGAAATAAGATTAAATCACCCTAGAATAACTTAAGAAAATAAGTACAGCAAAATCCAGAATCACAGGGACAAAAAAGTATAGTGCAGAAAAGACATGATGACCCACTTCTCAGATCTGAATGAGTACTATTTATGATTTATTAGAAAAGAAAAAAAAACCTTATTGTAACCTTATTGTTACAAAGTAATGAAAAGTTTGGGGTAAGAGTTATCCAGCACCACCACTGATGAAAGATCTTCCACTCTGCTGCTTTACTCAACCAGGATATAACTTAAGCCACCAGTCCAAGTACTAAAGAATTCAGAAGATCTATTACTAACAGTGTAATCCATTAACATTTTTCATGTATGTACTCCTGGTTACTACATCGAGTGGATCCAATAGCGTGGGTAATAATTCTTTCCCATACTGTCCAATTAAAGTGATTTAGATAGAAATGAACTGTTTAAAATTTTTCTGATTTCCTGAAAATAGAACGTTATTGGATTCATTTTATGACAGATATATTTATAAGGAAATACTAACTGAAGACTACTTTTCCCCCCTCAGTAATAATATAAACAAGGTTTGAGTTTCAACTGCCTGGTGATGTCTTTCTCTTTGAGCCAGTCCACGACAGTCAAAAACTACCAAGACACCAACTATAACTTTTTGAGTAATGTCACTTTATTAAGGGACTTAAAAGAATCACATTCTCTAGTAGCCTTGGAACAATGCAAGTGGTGAACAAAAGACAAAAATAGATGTAATTGGTTCTGAAAAGCATGAACATCTGTAGAGAATGTGTTGCATTATTCCTAAGGACTCTTGCTTTTGAAAAAAAGCATGTTCCATATATACAAAGTGTCAGTGCAACAGCCAATAAAGCAATCAGTCAGAAATATAAAAATATCCTAGATACAAACTTAAAATAGATGTTTGAAGACTGACAATATCAGTATTCTGATATTTCTATATCTCAGGAGTATGATCACTGGGATGAGTTATTCTGATGAGGTAAGAGACAGTAGATGCTCTGTGATAACACAAAGCCATACATTTTTTCCATACGACAAAAAAATAGAGCACCCAATGAAACTGCAAGTCTTTGCTGCAAGTGCCCACAGGAAGTGAAATTATAGTCTATGAGAGCATTACTACATTCCTGCATCATTTACGTTTGCTGTCTTTGCCAAGTTATACCAGCAAAGACTTGCTAATTCTCCCACCCTCCCACAGCTTCAGCATAAACTTCATGTACTTCGCAGATATACCAAACTGACAACTGCTTTAAACACAGACAAGATCTATAAATGTCTGAAAAACACTTAGTCATTCTTTCCTTTATTTGTTGCAATTCGTTTCTTGGCAGCAAGGACAGAAAGAGATTGCAAAGCTTGACAGCTGAACAGCTCTCTCTAGAAGGGTTAGGGAGAGAACAGGGTGTGTCCTATTTGCTTTGCCCCAGGTGTTCCAGTGATGCCACTGAACTTAAACCTCAGCTGGTTGAGCAATAAAAATCACATTCCTCCTCTTCACTCTATGTTTTGGATGGAAGGATGTAGTAATTTGGGGCTACTATTCCAAAAAAAGAAGAAAGGCTATTTGGTCAAACTTTCAGCTGGATTCTGTCTGTCTGCATCATGATTCATCTTCTTTCCTTCAGCCAGCTCTTTCACTATGACCCTCCAAGCTCTGCTGCTAACTTCTGCTTCCTATTTCTTCACTTTTCAAAGAAAATGGCAAAATGACAGGTAGACAGACAGGTACTCTCTGTCTTTGTGGCAAAGAGCCCCAGGAAGAACTGGCAGCAGAGCTGAGAGTGGCAGAAGAGTACAATGAACACAAACTCCTACTTAGGGGACTGATAAAGAGTTAATTTTCAGCTGTGTGTCAATGTCAGGCACTCCTCTATGGAAAAGCACAATGAATTATATAGTCTCTAAAACAGCAATATTAACTTGAACAGGATATGATTTGTATGATAAAAAAGCACAACAGGAGCTGGCAGTCGTCTTCATATGAAACTGACCTTACCACTTATGGCACACATATGCACTGAAGCACACAGCAGTTGCCTGAACCTTTAAAAGATTTCTTAGCTTTATATCCTAGATTCAAAAGCTTTTCCTTAAATCTTTTCATTATCCATCGTTCTTTCCTAAACCTGTTTTGTCTCGGGCAAATTCAGACAGCAGTGTGAGATGGAAAAGTGAAGCTAGTAACATCTGTAGCATGATGACACTTGACAAACTATCTCAGGTTTTCTTTCAGTTTCTGGAAGATGCTTTGCAGATTTCAGAGCCTCAAGGAATCATCATACTTCTCTCCTTAACCCCACTGAACGTGGCATTCAACATCTGCAAATATTGAATTACTACTCACCACACCCCAGTAAGACAGGCTATTACCTCTTAAGTAAACAGGCAGGGAATGGAGGCACAGAATGACTAAGTGATTATTCCAACATCACGATACAAGTCTGGGAGAATCAGGAGCTGAACCTGTATTTCTTGCGTCTCGGTTTCAGGTTGTCTTTTTGTTCTGTGTTACAGCCTTATCCTTTCCTGTAGAGGAAGACTGGAATCTCTTAAGAGTCTGTCACTGCTACTCTGGTTGACAGGTGATGTCGCCAATGAGATAAGAATTGTTGCATTCCCCACATCAAAAGGTGGAACACAGTGTGACATCTGTTTGCTGGAAGAAATACTAACCATACAAGTCCTTAAGAACATCAACATTTATTTAATATGCTATAAAAGAAATGGGATATGAACATTCGTATTTGAACAATAGTAAGTGGCTTCTTATACTTACATCGTATGTGCTCATTGTATAATATATACACAATGAACATAATTACATTTGTACACAAACTAAGTACTGGATTGAAAACCTGCTTATTGCTGTACACACCCTAACCCAATGAAGGAAAAGCCCAGTACCTCAAAATACCTACACTCCATTTTATTTAAGAAAAAGTAACCACTAACATTAATGTATATGTTGACAGAAGTGTGGCAGTAACTGCTGACATTGCAACCTGACCAAGAAATAATTACAGCAGAAACAGGACATATTTTACTAAGCAATAATAAAAATGGCACATTTTAAATATATCTATATGTATATATATATATAAAAATTTTACAAATAAAATGTTAAAACAATAAATTGTAATGTTTTAAAAGTGTAAAACAAGATTTAGTGGCGATATGTAAAATTAACTGAGTTATGCATCTAAAAGAAGCAAAAAAGTAAACTTGTATGATCCATAATTAAAAGAACATTAAATTCTGGAGAATATCAAATAAAGTTCTGACTGTAGGCTGCACATTAAAAAGAGCCTTTATCTTATGTGCACAGAAATCATAGCAGCAAGCTGGTATCAGGAGAACAATTTGAAGGTTGTTGAGTGTACATGTGGGCCATTTAAAGCTCTCTTGGAATAAACATTTTCCAGGAAGTGATAAAATGATGCTCTGTGGCCAAAAGCATCAGAACTATGAATTTCATAGATTTAAAATATACTGTACAATATCTTCTTTTCATAGGTCAGGTCCATACATCTCAGGCATGAATTGTTTCAATAGAAGCCATTAGTGCTGAAAGACAGACATAGATTAAGTTACTCTATTTTAGCGACAACAGAATACTGTATAAAGCAGCTCCTGGGATTAAACACAACAAGGAATTTCTGACCTCATCCTAGCAGTAGTCATCAATGGTGTAAACACAATAAATTATTTTAGAAATCAGTTGTTTCCCAAATCAATTTTTCTGATGAATAATACTGCTGTCAAGATACTTTGACAGCAAGAAGCAAAAGCAAGCTTTTTTTCAAATTTACACAACTTCGTATGAAAGCCTGTTTATTCTGAGAGTTTTTTCCTGTTGTACATGGCCATCTCCAAATGTTCTTCATACAAAACTAGTAATAATACCAAAGACCCTAATTGCTCTTACAAAGGACAGGTACAGTTTGAAGAGGGATGCAGTATTATTCAGTTGCTACACCATAATGGCAGCATAGCTGTGAAGTGTTCTGAAGTTCAAGTGCTCCACCCAGAGCTTGCTGCATTTTGGTAATTGTTGAAAGGACTTCTATAAATAGCTTTTAACAGTTCATTAGCAAAAATGCTTCTGTGCTTTGGATCCAGGTGCTGTATAAGATTTCATTATCCCTCCATTACTCAGTGTAAATGTAATGCTTAAAACCTAACAATGTTAGTGGTACACATCCAGATTTGTCTTTGCAAAGCAACAGCCGTGACAAAGAAAGTAGCGTTGTGTTAATGGGTTTTTCCTTAGTCCTACAATATCCTATGCCACCGATTCCCTATGCCAAATTCCCCTGGCATCGTGCCAAGAGTATCATTTTACTAATTGACCATAAAAGCCAAATATAGGTATTACCTCATTATTCTCTGAAATCTACCATACATTTTCCAGATGCTGTCTGAAAAATTTCATTGGATATGAACAGGGCTGATCCCACAGCTCTGAAGTTCCCTCTGCCGCATTAGGATTTCTTGCATCTGAGACACACTGAGTTCTTGCCCGTTAAAAGACCTATCTTTCAGCAAAGCACTGGCATACTGGAGCGGCAGCCCCAGAAGGTAAGGGGCAGTGAATACTTCAGGCAAGCAGACTATGCTTCATACATCTCCCATGTATACTAGGCCCAGCTCATGGCATGAATTTATTTTAGAGCTCCTAGAAAACAACCGACAGTGGCATCAAGCGCAGCAAAGAAACGTGGAATGTATATGCACATAGTTCAATGCTTTTTCCAACTCAGTTCAAATTCTAAACAGCCAAAGTGAATGTACTTTAAGTTCTGGAATCCTTTCTTCATTATAGTGAGGCATGTGTATGCAGAGCATTAGTTTTACAAGTGCCATCCCAGATGCACCGTTTTGTCATAAGCAATTAAGGTCTATTCGTAGAACCGTACTTCACATGGGAATGTTACAGCTACACTATTACCTATAAGGATACAGCACACTGTGGGATGTGAAGGCTTGGGCATTAAGTTACAAAGCAGATCACTACGTGAGTGCTTCACTTGCTAGTCTCATATTTAGCATAAATCCTTAAAAAAATGAATTTGCTGATCTGATCATTGGAGATGATGATGAGAGCTAAAAGCAACTTAATGCAATTGGTAATAGATTCCTGGTGAAGTTATAGGCTGCTTCTCCTTTCAAGACAGGCACACCGTGGCTATGGACAGAATTCAGCAGTGCAGTTTCAGTTTTACTACTGACCTGAAACTGAGTTGATGGGGTAATGTTTGTCCTATTTGAAAAGGAGATGCATGATAAATGCCTGTGTATTTATACAGTGAAACTGAAAAGTATTAACACAAATCAGTATTTCCAGAAAAACTCAATAGTCCCACTTATCTTTTTTAAATAGTTCTGTAATAAAGCTTTTGAATAGAAGTACAAAAAAGTCCAAGCTAAATCTAATCCTGACAGACCACATCCATCAGGAAGCCAGCAACACAGGTGTCAGCACTGAATGTGAAGAGTGCATTTTCTACTCTCAGAAGGAGAAAAAGAGAAAAATAATTTCCTTTTTTTTTTTTTTAAGAATATGAATAGTTTCCTGCCTATAGTTCATACAAGAAAGCTATCTGTGATGAATAATAAGTCTAATTTTGCCAAGATGAAAGCTTGGCAATGCAGATTGGGACAGTAAATGAAAAAATGCCTTTTCAGTTCTCCTCATGCTAAATGCCTGAAAATGTCTCGATTTTAAAGTTTTCTTGATTTTAAAGTCTTCTTAAGTTACATTACCTATGGCATTTAACATTACCATTGAAACAAAGTTCATTCTTTTATTAGAAAGCTTATTTAAACAGGTACTTCCTGACAACAAAGAAACGTGGATTGATTTAAATGCTGGTAAAGTGCTGAAGCATTCACATTGGTATCCTATTAATTTCTTTAAACACTTTTATAAACAAATATGCTTACTTCCATTTCCATTTCTATTCATTAAGTAGGTAACACTACAAGTATGAACATGTAAATCTAGCCTAACTCATGCTTTTTAACTTGATTCCTAGAAGAAATCACCTACTACGACAAAGGAAGAAAAGTTGTATAGGGCTATCTCTATAGAAAGAAAAAAAAAAAGTTTTGTAATTGTTACATTTCTTCTACCCTCATTTTTTCCCTTCCTGTTTCTCATGCCTCAGTCATCTATGTCTTAAGCTATAAACTCTTTGGGCCATTAGACCATTCCCTCCTATGCATCACTAAGACATCTAGCTCTAGTTGCCTATTACCACAACTGAAGCATCAAGATTCATTTGCACCTGAGCACTGATGCTCATAGCTTAACTGGGTATCTGTTTTGTAATAGCTTAGGTCTCTCATGTAGTTCAAAAGGCTATTATCTTGACAGTTGTGGAGAATGTGCTTGATAAGCCAATTAGTCTTTTCTCTTAGTACTTAGAGAATATATTACTTGCAAGCAAATACATACATGTATGTGTTTTGTTTTCTAGTTAGTTTATATTCAACATTGTTAGATAACTTTGTCTTGCCAAGTATGGTCTACGGATGTTTCTTAGAAAAATAACTAGAATACATATACTTAGAAAAATATTAGGAAAATGGCAGGAGGAGTGGAAAAAAAAAGACGTACTTCTCTGTAACTATACACACATGAAATGTGATCCTTCTGTGAGCTGTGTCTGTGTAGATGGAGCTGGTGACAATGACGATTCTGGTGAAGAAGGCAAACTTTTCACTGTGAGTCACACAGCAAGATAAATAAGAATACAAGTTACAGAAGGCATGATTTCAAGCCATAATAAATATAAGCTTGAAAATGATCATTTCAAGCCATAATAAATATAAGCAGAACCAAATGAAAGCTACACAAGTAAAGACTTAAAATCTGATCAGCACAATAAGCACAGCTTCAGGGGAGAGCATAGCAGTTTTCAAGAAAGATCATTACTCAGGCCTATAAACAACTAGTAGAACACCAAAGGAACAAACAATGGACACATGAATGCTGACTTGCTATTTATGTTGCAAAGAGCAAGGGGAAAAAAACCAGTAAAATTTAACTAGTCAGGATACTCCCAGACCCACCTTTATGTCCCAGCTCAGATTAACTAAGCATTTTTTATTCTGCTGAGCACTATAAAATATACTTAGAAGGTCTGGTTCTGATTATCAAGTCACAGAAAGGGTTGCTGACTGCACTACAAAGGTCGAGGTCACCTTTTTTATCCATAAATCGAACCATTTGGCTTACTTAGCCATTCCCATCACTAGATATCCTAATAATATCTTAAATTCTATCTTCTTCCTTCCTCCTCCCCTACACCCCCCCCCTTTTTTTCTCTTTGCAAACAAATTTGCTTTATTCCAGCCTTCTCTTCTTGCAGAGTAGCACACCATCAGTCATTTTACTAGTCAGCTAGTGTTTTCTGTTTCTTCATCTCTTTTTACTCCTGAAAACATGAGCGAACTGGGGTCTTTTACTTGCTAGTTCAAAATCTAATAGATATATTGGCAGCTCTCAAGGATTTCTCCATCTTGGGCATACGTGAGGCCATCCATTAGCAAGGAGGTAAGGGTAAATAATCCATATATATCCAGGATTGAGATGCTGTTCTACAAGATGAATAGGGAAAGATTTCCTCCAACCAACAACTATAGTATGACTCAATTTCTGGCAATAGTTATTTAATTCCCTGAATTAAATGCTACATTAAAACCTCAGAAAAATGGAATTTCTGTAATTTTCTGCTGGGAAACACTTTTTCCTCTACGTTATAAAACCATACACTTGACATCTAGACCAGCTCAGCAATTTCAGTTCACCAGGGTTTCAAAGCATCAAAAGGCATAATCAAAATGAAATAAAGTTTTACATATGTACTGTATAAGTTGTGCTTCAGTCAAACTCATTTCCATACCTGCTGTTGCCTGATTTGCTTTTGAAGACTGTGCTGCTAATTCAAATGAAGACATAATCCCTTCTTGCTCCTGAACACTAACTACTTCACTTTCTTCTGAGCTGGTTTTGGGTTTGTGGTTTGTAACTGTGGTCACACTCTGCAAGCTGGTTAAAAAAAGTACAGCATTTAGAACTCAGTCTAACTTAATTTCAGGTGTTAACCACTAAGTATAGGAGTTACAATTTAATTTTCTTTTGTTAATAGAAAAACATTGCAACTTGGAAGTTTGTGTAATATAAATTAAGCACGTATTTTGAAACCCTTCTACCTCGTAAAGTTAGACTTAAAAAAAAAGTACTGGAAACTGAATTCCTTTCTTTTACATACTCATGCAGTTTCCTACTCCACGATATCTATTTTGCTGAAGGGTGCTGTGAGAAAGTTATGACCTAATGTAAGAACTCACTTAGGATCTACAGTGTAACTTACACTAAAGTTATGAATCCTTAAAAAGGAATATCCAAGACATGATATTCCTCTAATTCTGCAATACTCCAAAATAGTGAAGTAAAAATTAAAGCAGGAGATACAGAATAAGTTGTTTAGCCTGCTCCTAAATATCAGCAGTAAAGAGCTTGCTGCAGAAGCCCTGGCTGAAGCTTTCATAATAAACTAATGCAAAGCTTGAACCGACATTACTAAATACATTTTGTATCCCAAAGCAAGGATTATGAACATATTCTCTTTATAACAATAAATTGGGGCAATACTTGAAAGTAAACATTGCTTCACCCACCAACTCATCACCTCTTACTGAAGCCCCGCAGCGGTTAGGTTTCTCACCAGATTTCGCTATATGTAAACCACTCAAAAACATAAAAATATACCTTATAAGTATTTATGGCAGTGTTTCATTAGTTGCTTGGTCCATTCAGCTAGTAAATATAATGTTCAGAGGCTATTTTAAACTTGCACATCTTGTTTTATTTTTACCTTATATCACCATCATGTGTTTCTTCCAATTTATTTTTCTTTTCCTTTTCTGCTTTCTCTTCATTACTCACTTCTTTTGAGTCAGATACAACATGTGCATCTGATAAAATATCATCAGTTTTTGTCAGCTATAAAAAAATTGAAATCATGAAACAATAAGCTGTAACACATACTAAGTGGCAGATAAGAAATACAGTGTCAGGAAACAGTTTTATTAACAGACAAATTTTGCCATCATGTATACTTAGTAACTCAGAATTACATAACTTAAGAAATTTTTATCAATACCATTCAGGTTAATAGAGTTATCCTGAAACTTATATCAGAGCCAATGGGCAGGGCTTGGCTTAATAACTTCCAGAACTTATCTGAACTCTTTGGATTGCAGCCTGCCTGTTTTTTTTCATGCTATCCCTCTCTTCACAATGCCAACAGAGATTCCAGCTACTGGAATATATTGTTGATAAGCCTGAACACTGCTCTTAAAGGTTTCATTAGATATAACCAATGTAAGTGTGTTACATAATTTTCCTTTAAAAGATATGCATATTTAATAAAGCAACAGACTCTCAAAAGAAAGTGCTTTTAAAGAATAACAACAGATGTTAATTATTTGATTTTATACCATTCTCCATAAGATGTATGTTTAAAAAAGCTAAATATAAAATAGGAAGACAAAAGGAAAAATGAGTGAAGAAAAGGAAAAGCAAAGGATGATTAAAGAATATGATTACGTAGAAACAACTCCAGTAATCTATTCTTCACAGTCAGTCTGTTTTTGCTGAGTGTTCAGGGCACTTTAGTACCAGAAACACCAAGGTAACTCACTGCCAAATGAGTTTGAGACTATTTCATGACAGAAATCAATCCAGTGACCATATAGCACAAACTACAGTTATTGCTTACTTCCATATATAAATTGTTGAGTCAGTTTTATTCTGCGTCCTGTAACTATTTGATGCGCTATAGCCAACCAAACAAAAAAGTCAGGTGTAGTAAATGACTGTCTAAAACTACACTGGGATATCCTAAGCAATGAACAGATCAATGATTATTATTTAAAGATACATTAGTATTGATTTTGTTTCCAAATAAATAAAGACCACAATTTTGTAGTTTTCCAATCAATCAAGATAGTAACAGATAAAGTTAAGTAAAATGAAATTTAGGAAGACCACATACAAGAAAATTCACTATCTCAGCTATAGACAGATCCGATACAATTTTGCGCTTCTGTATAGAATGTTTGTTATATCCAAAAAGATATCTTAATCTTCCAAGCAAAAGGAACTGGCTCAATTTCCCATACTCTGCTGTCTGTGGCTCAAAATATTTTCCTACTGCAAGACAGGCTGATGTACAGTTTAATAAGGGACAGTTTAGTACCTCTTTAGTAAAACTTGAATTATGTTCTTGTTCTCCATCATGTTTTAGTTGTGCTATTTCTTCTCCAGGACTCTCATTATTTTGTTTCAAATTACTTTCTTTACTGGTGCTCTCTAATTCCTTCATGTTACTAGATACGGTATCATCCTTTTTTCGATTCTGTGGAACAAAATTGATATACAGACATATTCTTACAAAAGTTATCACAGTCTCAGTTCTTCTGCTGTCCTCTGACTGTGATAAAAAAAGTACTTAAAAAAACCTTAAGTATACCACATTGCAATAAGGAAAATGGAAATTGTTAAGGACCTAGAATTTTCTTATTTTTGTACCTAACAATTTTTTTCTCTGTAAGATTATTTACTTTCTGTGCCCCCCTCCAATATCCAGCATTTCTATTAGTCACCTTTGTCTTCTGAAATTTCATTCATATTTAGCTCAGTCACACACAGGCTTAGTAGCATTCTTATTTGCCCTCATAAGCACTGATTTTTTTTTTTAAATAGCTTTTCCTGGTTTAAAAAAAAAGGGGGGGGGAGTAAAAATCTGCTCAGTACAAAATTGCACACAAGTGCACTGTGTCTTTCTCCAATTATTTTGGGTATCTTCCAAGTCTATGCTGTTAACTGATTTAACAGAGGACAACATAGCAGCTGATTATGCAAGAGGATATTACTTATTCCTTAAAAAAAAAAAAACCAAAAAAACCAACAAAAATCCGTTGCGGAGAGAATAATTTGATTTAAAAATTTTGAGGAAGGATGGTAGATGTGATTTAACACTGTGAACTGCAAACATTATGTTGGCAGAGTAGCAAAACAAACTGAAGTGAGTTCATATAAGTCTTATCAAACTAAGTACTAGGGCTGAGAAAAACAGGAGCCATGAAAGTAGTAAATCTTGTGGTTGAATTCATGTGATTTAGCACATGCACTGTTAAGAGGAAATTCCATGCAAGTCAGTTCACAAATCAATCTCTCTACTTTCCTAACTAAAGTATACACCCATATAATACACTTGTCCAGAAACAATAACAATCGTGAAGCAATTGTATTGTGGTAATAACTTAAAAATTACACAGTAGGCTGTTTATAAAATTCTTTTTCTCCTCCAGTTCTTAAAGAACCAAACCCCAGTTGAAAAGACTTCCAGCAGTTAATGCCATTGCACCATTTTTCTGTATAAAAATCAATAGGCATACAAACTATGCTTTTAAAAGTAAGAGCTATTACTACAGTGTAATACCTCATATCTTGGGGCTTTTTGCCAAATAGCATTCTGGAAAAATTAAAGTTGTGATAGAAAAAGTGATTTTGTAGCACGGATGACTAGCTAAATATTCAATTCAGACACATTCTCACTTATTCTATAAATTTCTTATCTCATCCACGTAGCACCGATTTCACACAGAAGACTGAAGAACATGCTGACATGAGCAAAATTCTTTTCAGGTCTGTACAGCAAGTAGTGCTGGCACAGAGGATCTGGCCGCTTTCCCCACTCTGCTCCCAATGTGCTGGCTAAGCAGGTATGACACATACATGACTGCAGTTTCCTCACCTTGAGGTAGGAAGGGGTACCATAGGAAAGTGGTAAAGCTCAAACACCTCTGTAAAAACTACAAAAAGAAACATCTGCAAAGCTTTGCTTTGCGTGTCCTCTTCTTGAGAAAGGCAGTGTTATCACAAAAATATTTGTAGAAGCCCCCTTCATATCTAGCACTCATGATGTCAGCCCAAATACAGATGCTCTAACGCAAAGGCAAAACTTGAATTCAGTGTCTTCTGGGGATCCAATGCTGTTGAAGGCAGCTTAGCATGCTCAGAGGGAAAAAACAACCCACAACTAAAACTTCTTTGGAAATATGTGACTTCTTAACAGTGCAATGCATTTAATCTGGCTTTGGAAAATCAGATGTTAAATTGCATACAAAACATAGAAGGTGACATTTCCAAATCAGTGTTAAAAAAAACAAAACAAAAACAAAAACCACCACCCCACCCCCCAACCCCAGTGTGATCTTTTAGAAAAAGAACAGTTTTGTAACTTTTCTCTTTTAACGAGACACATTAAAGGTTTTGAATAATGTGGGACCCACCTGTGCCAATTTGAATGGATTCTCTCTGACAAATGACAGACTCTGTGAAGGAGACTGGTCTGAAACACCAATAATATTGAGTCCTTTTCTCTTCTCTCTCAGGCAAGCTTGTTGGTGTCTCTTTATTCTTTCCATCTGTTCCTCCACAGTCATTCGAGGCCGTGTGCTTTCTGCAAGACACAGCTGCTCCACTGCACTTCTTGGTCTTTCCTGAAATAATATATATATATATTTATTCATTAAAAAAGCAAGATTCTAAACTGTTTAGTTTACCAGAAAAGATCACCTAATGATTTACTAAGAAGCAGAAGAATAGTGGGCAAGTAAAGATCTCCTATGTATGTGAAGAAAGTATAAGAACCAATTATTAATAAATGAACAATGAAATTTGAAATAAAAGGAATAATTTGATTTTTTGAACAGTGACATTGTCGCCATCAATGATAAACATTAAGAGAATGGGTAGATGCTCTCTCAAAGCCATCCTATCAGTCGAAACAATTTACTAGACATTATACAACAGGCAAACACAAGTTACTTGGCTGAGACAAAAACATAATAGAAATTTAATGATCCAGGACATTTATACCAGTTGATCTAATAGTGATTTCTGCCCTTTTATTTCAAGAAAAACTACAGCTGGGCATCATTTAATGGCAAGTACAGGCTGAAACAAACTGAAATGGCCTCAAGTTGCGCCAGGGGAGGTTTGTATTGGATATTAGGAAAAATTTCTTCACCAAAAGGGCTGTCAAGCATTGGAACAGGCTGCCCAGGGAAGTGGTGGAGTCACCATCCCTGGAGGTATTTAAAAGACGTGTAGATGTGGCGCTTAGGGACAGGGTTTAGTGGTGCACTTGGCACTGTTAGGTTAACAGTTGGACTCGATGATCTTAAAGGTCTTTTCCAACCTAAACGATTCTATGGCCATTTAAAAATCTGTAATTCAAAGCATTATATTATTCCCAAAATAACAACCATCACTTTACCTACTCTGTTCTTGAAATTCACTGTTTTTCAGATAGTTCTGTACTTTGTAAGACAGAAAAAAAATTTACTTCTGGCTAATCAGCTGCATTCAGTACATTCACAGTAACTGATTTCACTTCTGAAAAGTGGTGTTCTTTCTCCAGGCAACATCCTGTGAGTTTCTCTCTCCTCTCCTGTTCTTCCTACAATTTCTCCTGTTCTATTCACGCTACAACAATGGCAAAACTTTTCCCCCCTTCTGCCTGAACTACCTGTAAACTTTTGTCTTCAACCCAGAGACTACAGGACTCTCTAATCTGAAATGCCAGGCTTATTGCCCACATTATTACTTGCTGTACCCTTATTTTCTGGCTGCTTTAGTTTTTCCCCAAATAATATTAGTAATAAAATAAATAAAACTGATATTTGTTAAATTGCCCCAGAAGCCAAATACAAGTCCTCCAAAAGCTTTAGCCTAAGATGCTGCCTGTCCTTTCAACTCAGGTGTGAACTTCAGTAGCTTAGTAGATATATCATTACCATTTAGTTCTTGCCCAGTTTGAGATTAGGGAAATCTCTATGCAGTTTAACATGCACGACCTTTATAATTTTGTCATTCTTTCTACAGCTGTCTCCATTAACCTAGCACATTTTTATAACAGCAAGTTTTATGTAAAGAAAATTAAAAACATAACTACAACTTTTTAAGTAACTACAGAAATTGAACTTAGAAGTGTACCCATCACTATCCATCAATACTCAAAGGTTATTTTAAAGTACCGTTCTTAGATCTATCTTCTTATTCTTCCTCAAAGTGACATAGGATGCTATTGTTGAAGACTCTGGTGTTGGTGACTTGGTTCTGGGTGGTACAACTCCCACAGGAAAATGTGAGCCTGCGAAACAGTAAAGCAATATACTAAGCTCTATGCAAAACATTGCCAAACCAGTTCATTGTTTTCTAGAAAATACACAGTCTGCCTTGGACACTATTCTTCAAAAGACAGCAAAGATCTTAATGCCTAACTACCACATCTGTTAAGGTACACAGGCAGTAGACTAGCCCCCCACCTGAGGTTTAGCTGAATAGAACATGGGGAAACTACTGCACATGGCACAAGAAATTGCTGGACATAAAAATATAAATGCAAAAATTTTGTCTGTGAGAAACAGACAGAAGTTAGTGCTGTGTGGAATGGCTAGATTTCACAGATGGTTAGGGGGGAATTACGTGAAAGATGGCCAAACTTCACAGCTAATTGGATGGCCACACCGGGGACTTTTTGTGGAATAGGGTTTGCAAGGCCAGCAGAATGCCTAGGTAGCCATACCAGTGCTACCAGTTCCAGCCAAGCTTACCTAGATAATGGTGTCAAACATACAAAATCTAGCAAAAGTGGGACTAATGAACAAAAAGTAATTGTGGGTGGGTTGTTTATCTGGGAGGAAACAAAAACTGCAAAAGGGATGGGGCAAGGTGGATGGGAAAGAACAGACATGGAACAAGAGGGAGAAGGGGGAGTAAAAAGGGCCAGCTTTGCACAAACAAGCCATTTGTCAGTATGCTTGTCTGACCTAGCCCTGTGCCTTAGCATTGCAGTCTGGCCTATGTTCTTATTAAACTTTATTCTTAAGTATTTTCCATGGAGTAGCTTTCCCTTCTGTGTATGAGAACGTGGGAGATAGTAGTGATCTTCAAGCCAGGCCAGCTTGCGAGTAGGAGCCAGCTACAGAGAGATCATAGGTCTGGGGGGCAAAGATGGGAAAGACTGCAGTTCTGCAGGTCAGCTACTGGAGCGACCATAGGTCTGGACCTGCTACCGGGGAACCTTCTGTCTGTGAGATGCTAGCAAACTGAAGACAAGACTAGATGGCAAGCAGAATACGAGGTGTGGGAGCCAGCTGTCCAAGAGACCTTAGGTCTAGGATTCAGATACTGGAATGGCCAGAGGTACTGAGAGTTGACAGATGAGGATACCATAGGTCTGGCCAGCTTTTGCAGGGACTCATTTGTGGGTATGCACACATGTGCTCATGTCTAGATGTGCAGGAGATCAGTTAGCAGGCTTTGAGCCTCGTTAGCTGGTGAGTGAGAATAGGATCATGCTATTTGTGTTGTTCCACTGTCATGCGAGTGTTGGTCTTGTTTATGCTGTGCCTGTAATGGCACTGGTCCCAAACCCGCTTGTGTTATCTGTTGTGGTCAGCTGTGGCTGTGCTTATGCACAGTGGGACTATATCCTCAGCCTCGCAGCTCGTGCTACTTGGGGATAGGGAACCAGAGCAGCCAGGCTCCGTCTGGTCGGGAGTTGAGGATATTCTGTGTCCTGACGTCCACTACATTCAGCCTCTTGTAACAATATCCACCACTAGTTTTTCTACTTAGAGAAGCCCTGCCAAAATATAATTAAGCTGATAGAAAACTGAAGTAAGTTAAAATTTACCAAATTATACAGATAAATAACACACTCTTCATTTTTGCTTCTTATACATACAGGAAATCAAACTATTAAAAATATTGTTTTCTTGCTGACTTCACCTAAAAACCAGATATAATATCTTCTTTGATAGCCAAATTATTTCTCCTTGTTTTTCCTGAGCTTGCACAGATTTGAGAGGAAATACTGACTCGGTGAAGGCTCAACTCTTTCTCCAAATTGTTTGATAGGCTGACAAAATAGTCTAAAAGTATTTGAATGCCAAATCCATCATTCAAAACAAAAACTATAAAGCAACAGTTTGGGTCTCCTTTAGACATAGAAAGGATAAAACACAGCTGAAGTCCGTTTTCCTTTTGTGTTACCTTTATGTACCACTCGGGTCATAAATACTCCTCTGCTTGCAGACAGCTGTAAGGGTTACCTTACATAGTCTCATGAAAACATTTCTCTGTTTGTTGACATTTGAAAAGAGAGGGAAATGGCTGACATGAGAAGTGTCTAGTACACTAACATCCACAATGAACTAGAAAACCATTTTTAAATTTCCTCTGAAATTTACTAATTTTTAGAATCACCCTCAGTAGGAAACTATGTAATTTGACTACTTAAAACAGCAAGAAAGAAGAATTGCAAAGATGAGCTGCCTTTGAGTTTGTTTACTTTTCAGCTTATAAACTGTTAAGATAGAATGGCATAAAAATGCTGAAACAGCATATAGTTGCAATGGCATACACACTATTAAAACCCCAAACAACCAGTAATGGTTCTACTTTTCCTACTGCATGCGGATTGTTATTATAAGTGAATGCCCAGAACAAGAAATATCGGTTAGAAAATTCACACGCCCAAAAGCATGGACCGGATGATAAAACACAGCTACGATAAACCCACTTCATTGTTGTTTAAGAGATAAAAAGCCTCTCGCTGCTTGCTACCACTGCAGCTATTCTCCTCCTCTCCTCTAAATATTATTTATATTAGAAGAATTTGTATTACTGCTTTCCCTTACTGAGGACTGTTTTTCTACAAATGGACATAATAAAAAATTACTTATGTCTTTATAGAAGAAAAAAGAAAGCAGATTGGGGTGCTCAAAAAGTATTGGTTTGCTTTATGTAGTCAGTGTAGGCTTTCTTGTATCGTCTTGATAATTACTTTCCCTCCTGTCATAAATTACTATAAATAATCTGGAACACCACAGGTCAATAAAACCTAGGCATGTTGTCAGAAAGGCAGCTCCTCAATTTAGGTAGTTGATGATTAGCAAATCTCAGGCTAAACCACCAAGTTAAAAGAAATTTAATATCTATCTTAAGTGAACATTATAACCTCAGCAAATACCATGGTGAATCTGAATTGACTAATTGTCTGGTAAGTGCAAGCTTAATTGCATCATATATCACGGGGCCATTCACATTGTTTACACCCAAACTGTATGCTAACCTTAGTTTTAAAAACCTCCACTACCATTCTGATGAAAATAATATCCTTATATGGCCATAGTTCCTGGTCAAATTCTGGTACTGTTGCACCAGCCTGCTATGTACATGCTTAGTCAAAGTAGCAGAACAGAAGGCAGTGATCTTTCTGGCACTGGAAACATCAACCATTACGGTAAAAAAAATAGGTAAGTTTAGTTACTTTTTCTAAAAGCTCTTAATATGTTTTTGGGGAGGTGCTCAAGCTGCTTTTCCTGAAGTCACCTTTAACAAATTATTCTGTGTGTTTTAACAAACAGAATTGAGAAGCACTTCCTGGTAAAAGACTCTACCAAGCAATTAGTAGCCTTTATGGAAGCTAGATGAAGAGAAGAATCTAAAGCATTTAGCAATTGCAAAGACCTTTATTGTCTGTACACTCCAAGGTCATGATCATTATTCCTATTATATCAGAGGACAGAAGGCAATTCAACAATTACAAGATTAAAAAAAAGAAAAAGACATTGTTTCCCTGCCTTATGAGAGCCTGAAAATTCTGTGGTGCTGCCTTTTTGGACGTTCCAGTGACATAACATCAGGAGCTTGATTCAAAAACTGAATAATTGTTCAAGAGCAAGAACATAAAATGGGTAATTGTTCAAGGGAATGGTGTGTGGGGAATGTGAGTGATGTGATTAGACATGGTGTCAATAAGGATTTCAGGGTTGTTGGTGAGTGTAATGTTTGATTTTTCTGCAGTGTAATTGACTGAAATCTTTCTCGTCATATAATTAAATCATTATTTTATAGTGAAAGCTGTTTCATCATATTAAGAAATGGACATGCTACAAAAATGCAAAAGATGATATAGCTTCTATAACACAGTTAAAGGTTTGTATTCCTTGTGAAAAAGGCTGAAAGGTTGTAAACACCATGCCTGGGGACAAACCTTTAGCAGTAGATTCTGATTCTGAAATCTGTTCTGTTTTTTCTTCGCCGTTAGACTCATCCACTTCTGCTACTGTAGTTAACTCCGGTTCACTCTTATAAAGCCTATAATCAGGACCCTGAGGAACGGCAAGTTATAAGGTAAACGAATAGGCATTTTTGTACAAGCATTTATGTCTTAAGACTCAAAACAGTTATTTTGTGATGACTCTGTTCTCACTTTAAGACAATGTTTCATTGTTGAAGCACTATTGCAGCAGTATTTCTTTGTAGTTAATTTGAGTAACAACATTTGCAGACAGAAATGACAGAAAAAACTTGCCATAAAAATACGGAGGGTTTTTTTTTTCATTTAAATGATCTTCAGTAAACAAATTTGTATAAGGTTCCAGCAAAAACTGATTCTGAGCCTAGAGTTTTGTGAGAACTTGTGAGTAGAAGAATCTAATTTTCTGAAATTTACTCAGAGACAATCATTTAAGTCTTAAGACTTTTTATATAAGCGCAGAATGTATGAAACAGGAAAACGTGAAGAGCAAATGATGGAGCTATAAAGAAAGCTAAGTAAACAAAAGCAGAAACATAACACAAAAGTAGCCAGATGACAAAATAAAAATTGTGACTGTGCAAAGGAAGGGGGATGCTTCAAGAACAATGTGGCAGTTTAAGCCACTTACACAGTAAGATCCATTTCTCTGATATCCTTGCACTTGGTGAATCTTCTTTTCTTCTGGCAGATGTACTGGGCCCCTGCTATAACAGAGCAAGGAGCTGCTATCACTGGGCAGAGGGGGGATTATGGGAGGATGCTCTGTAAAGTCATAGGACCGAGGGAGTGGAGGACGAGGTGGGACTACTTCCTCTTCCTAAAGATTGTAGAATAGTCACCTTATTTAGATGTGCACACCTGTTACAATTATTTATAACTTAAAAAGAAAAATATATTACCATAGCTACACCAGCTATAGACTGTGGAATTAAAGGGACAATGTCACACTAAAAAAAAAAAAAAGGCCAAGAGAGCTTTTTCTTTGGGTTTTTTTTGTTCATTTGCTTTCATTTTATTACTACCACCTAGACTGAAATACTTCAATAGTTTCATTATTCAGCTTATCAAGATTTTCAATTCTAACACCTGCACTTTCTGCTGGACACGTATGAACTCTCTGAATCATCCTTCTAAAAATTAAATTCAGTATCTTTTTAAGATTTTTACATAAATCAGACTTTTAGAAAGTTCTGTAAGCCAGATGTATATTGCATACACTTTAGATAACCATGACAATGTCCCTTTAAAACTGTAACTTCTAGCCAGATTTTCAGAGGAATTGAACATTTGGGAGCTCCCACAGTTTCAGCTTTTCTTGTGGGTGCTCTGGCCATCTGAGAACCCGGCTCAATATGTGAATAAACATATAAAGCAATGTATTTCTTCCCATGAAAAGTATGGTGGGTAGAAAACAAATCCATAAGTCAGGGTTTATATTTCTAGGGTAAGAGCCTAGGGAGAGGAAAAGGTGAGAAATGGAAAAGAGAAACATACCAGTGAGAATACAAAGACAGAGAACAAATGAACGTGTTAGAACTACTAGTGGAGGTATCAGTCTTTAAAAGTAATTAATAATGCAATATTTTCACAGAAACATACTGAATACATACTTCAGACATGCGTAAAACAATTTATTATAATGTTCATTTTTATCATAGGTATAGTAGAAATTCAGTGATGATAAAACGGTAAATATGCTAAAACCATACCTCATTTTTATATTTAATAGCTGAAAATGTCCTTGATCCCATGATGCCTGTTTAGGGGGAGGGGGAAAGGTGTAGAAAGACAAGAGAAAAATTGTTTTCAATAAACAGCTTTTAAATTATGAACTATAACCTGTTGCTATCAAATATGGAAAGCATTAACTTAAAATAGATGATTGCTTTCTTCTTTTCTCAGCAATTGTACCATTTTTTTCAAAAATGCAAAAGCAACTGTGGACCTTATCCTTCAAAAATGTGTATGATCCAAACGCACTTCCTATGAGATAAAAACAATCAGTTTACCTGCCTCTGAAGAGCTTCTTTGCTGTTTATGTTTACTTAAACCCTCCATAACATCTTGAATTCTCCACAGTTCTTTCTGAATCTGAGCACGCTGTATCCCTGCTGACTCAGTCTGCCAGTAAATAAACAGCATATATAGGAAATAAATTAGAATACACTGCAAGCGGAAAAAAACCAGAAAACCTTTTTCTTTCTTTAGATTACACTGCGTATCCTTTCCCACTGAAGGAAAATAAAGTGCAGTAATGACAGACACTCTCCTTTCCCATAAAAGTGCAACATTCAAATATTATCAGAAATAAGAAGTGTAAGATTAACTAATTTCATAATGTGTCAGTTAATTTGACAGCAATTTGCTAGTTCAAACTCCACTTAGGAATAGAATTGTATCTACTGTCTCCAAAGAAAATCCAAGCAAACTTTGCACGGGAGTCTTACAACAGAAGAAAAGGAATCATCAGTTCCAACCCTAAAATAGGTGCCGATGAACATGGTGTTTGCATTCTAGCATATGAACTGTGGGTCTGTTTGCATGCTTTGGTCATGCATGCTTTGGACTGCATAACACAAATTTCTCAGCTCTTGGGCTTCCTTGTAATCTGCCTCTCATAGCTGCATAGAAAATCAATCCCTGGAGCAAACAGCCTTTAATGCCTCCCAGCATGGACCACACCCATCTGCCCACTCCAGATAATATATGCACATCTCTGCCTGCGCATCTCTGTGTGTGTGTGTCTCAGAAAGATCTCCTGAGAAATTCAGAACTTACACTACCCATCCAATCCGCCACAGCACAGTGAGGTAATAAGCTACACGTCAGAACTCTTCATATGCAAGACCTGAAGCAATGCCTAGAATATTTTTTATTATAATTTATTTTGATAGAATGATTTAATTACATTTTAAAATATTCAGTTAAATGGAAGAATTTGTGCGAAGATTTAATATGACTGTCATAGCAATTAGAGTCTGAGAAAACTACCCCCTTTTGGACCCCATCACTGAAACAGAAAGAGGAGGCTTCTAGACACAGGAAAACCAGTGCTATAGCTTCAAAAAACCAGGAAAAGCTGAAGACCTCTTCAGAGCTTACAGACTTCTCATTTTTTTTTATACCTTGGAAGTTCACGCAGCACATGTCCCCCTTTTTTCATTTGTATAGTTTTTAAACAAAATCATAGAAAATGAAAGTGACTTAAGTGTACTTTAAGAGCTATGCCACACCTGAATTTCTCCAAGCCGATCAAGTTGCTCCTGCATGTGGTTCCTTGTAACCGTTACATCATACTCCAGTTTATCATATTCTCTCCAAGCTCTTTCCAGTTCCTAACAGAAGTAAAGAATTAGAGATGCACATTCAAGTACAAAAAAAAATTAAATTATTTTTCTTTATTCAGTGGCATGAAACTTAAGGAAGTAATGTATAAACAGATGTCAGCAATAAATAAATATGTATTTTAGAGAATGCAGTGTTTAAACACCTTTTTGATTTGCTAATGATACTGAATGGAATTCAAACAAACAGCATTTTGTCTTTTCACAAACAAAAATTATAGGCAAGGGCAAAATCTTCAGAATATGTCTTTATAGTCAGCAGGCATGTGGGTCTTAAGCTGTCCTTCCACCGAGGCAGAAAACCCACAAAAATGGATGCAAATTTGCCTCTTTTATCACATAGAATACATATATGTGAGTGCACAGCATGTGCATGTATATGCAATGTATTATGCACGACAAACATAAGTCATCCAACCCTGCCTGTGAGGTTACCCGTGAATGCTCCAAGCCTGCTAATACACCATGACTTTACATATGTGAAACTACAAACACCAGAAGGGAGAAGGGGCAAAAAGAAAATCTTCTTTGAGGTCAGCTCTACCATCTCGCTTTTTAAGCCTACATCAAGCAATTTACTCAATTTAGCATAAATTAAAAACTTAATGAGGGAAAGTATATCATGAGGATTTCCTTTCCCCTAATTCCCTTTTCATTGTCCAACCAATTCCTCTTACAACATGGCCTAACGTTCAGACTAAAACCAGTATTTCATGGCCTGCTTTGTATCAGTTTCACCACAGCAAACCACTGGAATTTAACACTGAAATACCTTTTTGGATATATACACATACGTAGGGAAAAATGATTCTTTGCCTTGTCGTTTCAGTGTAGAAACCATCATGAAGTGGAAAAAGACAGTAAATAACAATTCCCTTTTTTTCCTTTTTTTTTTTTTTTTTTTAAGGCTTTTGAAAGTCCATAACTTGAAAGATCTTTTAAATATAATGGCCCACTGTTAAGAGACCACGACAGTATAATCTTTTCTTCTTTTTATCCTACACCTTAAAACATTGCTTAAAATACATCGCCTATCTGATTGAATATCTGATAAAGTTTGCACTTGCTACTATTTTGCCATCATACGAAACAGCTTATTTACATTATTTATTTCTTCTGTAATCAATTTTTCATATCATGTAGATCAAAATTACCACACCAATTAAAGTCAGTGTGCACTCATTCCTGGCCAAAAAAAAAAAAACCCCCAAACAAAAAAACTACTCAATGAATATAGTGAAAATATAATTTTCCAGCTGCCTTTGTCAAAAATACAAGCAAGTAAAAGACAACTGAGTTTTGTTGGAATGTAATGAAAAATAACCAAAGACAATCCAATTAAGAATATGAACATGAAGATAATTGTTTAATACTTCATTGAGTTTTACTGACAAGAACGTATTACTTACTGCAGTAGCTCGCGATACTTCTCGACAAGTGCTAAGTAGTCCGTTCTGCAGGTCATCTCTCTGTAAGACTACATTTTGTATGGCTGCGGGATTATCTGCATTCATTTCTATCTCCTGACTTGCTGATAGCAAAGCTTGCTCAAGCGTGTACTATTATAATAAAAAGAATTATTTTTAATGTTCTGCATCATTAGCCTGATTTTAATTTTATTGCAGTTATCAATGTTCTGATAATAAGCATGTAAAATAACATCCACTTTAGGTAATAAATACAATTGTCCTACTTTCTCCTTGTGTAGCTGTTGAAGCTTCTCCTCCAGTGCTTGTACAACTTTATCTTGTTCGCATAAACGGCTAAGCTTAGCCTAGTATATAACAGAAAATGATTGCAATTAGGATTTCATTTTTAACATCTTCAGTAATCAAAATATAACTTGATCAAATCATTACATGAATCTATATAAAATATTATTACCACAAAATAGGAATTCTAAAATTATGAAGGCATCAGTCTTGCATTTTCAAATTAACCTTAAGAAACCCTCTTAAGATACTATGAAATAAGTGTATAATAACTTGAAACAGCATGGCTGAAAACATATAATTTGTGATTCTACAGCTAAATCTTTACAACTTAATAATAGGTATTAAATACCTTTTTAATTTACATATTCCTCAGTATTATTGCCAAAAGAACATTGTATTACTTTTGCAGCCTTTCCCATGGTTTATTTCTGGGGTAGTTTTTAATAGTTAGTTAGTAGGACTATCCATGCTCTGCTCTGTTTTAGCTCTTACCAAGGCTTGGCTATGACTAAAGCTGTTCCACTCCAGCTCGAGCATGTAACTGTTCAGCACACTCTAACCAATTTGAAACAGTTTACTTTTCTATTTGAACAACCTTTTTTGTTCAGTTTGTGCTGCTCTGACTTTTTAACTCTAAGAAAACACTGGAAGCCTGCTTTCTTTTTTATTCTTAATATAACATCCCTTAAATCATTATGTCTACTCTTAGTTGCATTGTGCAAGAATGACTAGACATGCATATGTAAGCATATACAGTATGACTATATGAGTGTATTTTTCACCACCAATTTTACACCAAGCACCTTTTCTTTAGTAACTAGCAACCCGATACTCTAAATGGTAACTACCCATGCCAAATTTCAGTTTTGCAGTATCGGTCACATTTCCTGAGAAATTACATCTCATGCTTATAACTGAACTACAGCTACAGAGTTTTCCCCTTTTAAAGTAATTAATTCCTTTCTGGAAGCAATTCACCTTTGCACAGATATAAAACGTGAAATTACAGCCTAAAAGATAATACCTCCTGCAAGTTAGAAGCTTATTACAAAAAGAGTCTTATGCCCCTCAGTTTCACAAAGCAATTTCTATTGGCAATCACCTATATGAAGTGTGTTTCAAACCCTAAAGTCAAGGGGTATAAATAAAGAGACAAATACCAACATTTCCAAGGAAGAAGAAATACAAATTACTTACATCAATATCCAGCTCTTCAGTTCTATATTTGTATAGTGTACCCCTACATTCTTCTTGTGTTAACTATAAGGAAGAATAATAATGCCATAAAACAACTTAATTGGACTATGAAAATGAAACTACTGTTCAGCTTAAGAGTTTTACTAGCAAAATCAGCTTTTGCTTGAAAGTCAAACATACTATATTGAACAATATATTTTTAGCCAGTATGTATTAATGAAGATAAGTAAATGGGATGTCAAGCAGACTGTCAGCAGAAAGTTGCATTAACTTAATACACTATGTTTCTAATGAAATTGGATTTTTAAAGATGTACCACTAACTCAATCAAGTATGGATTATGTAGGAAGATGAAAACGCCAGAGTACACCTAGACAAAGTTATACATCATTATGTACATTTTCTTAAGTGCAATCTAAACACAGGGGCTCATTCTACTTGGAATTAACTACTCTAGCCCGCTAAGATCAAGTCTATTCACAAGGAGGATATTCTGATGTGAATCCGAAATCAGAAAAGAATGACCTAAGTATACAAAGTATGTGTAAAATATCTCATTACAGACATATGCCCAGTACGTGCCACCAAATACCTTTGTGCCTACTTTTTCATATGGATTCCCTCCCCTCCAACAGAGTTGTCCTGGTTTCATCTGGGATAGAGTTAATTGTCTTCCTAGTAGTTGATATAGTGCTATGTTTTGGGTTCAGTATGAGAAGAATGTTGATAACACACTGATGTTTTCAGTTGTTGCTAAATAGTGTTTACACCAAGTCAAGGATTTTTCAGCTTCTCATGCCCAGCCAGCAAGAAGGCTGGAGGGGCACAAGAAGTTGGGAGGGGACACAGCCAGGGCAGCTGACCCCAACTGGCCAAAGGGGTATTCCATGCCATGGGATGTCATGTCCAGTATATAAACTGGGGGGAGTTGGCCTGGGGGGATCGCTGCTTGGGAACTAACTGGGCATCGGTCGGTGAGTGGTGAGCAATTGCATTGTGCATCACTTGTTCCGTATATTCCAATCCTTTTATTATTATTGTCATTATTATCATTATTAGTTTCTTCCCTTCTGTTCTATTAAACTGTTCTTCTCTCAACCCATGAGTTTTACTTTTTTTTTTTTCCCTATTCTCTCCCCCGTCCCACTGGGTGGGGGGGGAAGCAAGTGAGCTGCTGCATGGTGCTTAGCTGCTGGCTGGGGTTAAACCACAGCAAAAGTATTACCAGAAATGCCACAAATGGAAGCCCTTCTATTTTATCTTTGGACCTATGCAAACTTGTCTCCTCATGCCAGTCAGCATGTAAGCTATCCTCACACTACCTTCATACAGCTCCTCACATTAAGTTCTTCACTCTTTCAGTCTCCAAACTGGCCAGTAACAAGATTTAAAAATATTTTACATGAAAAAAGGTAGCGCTCCATTTTACAATGGACTGTCACATACAGTAACTACTTAATGTCCTATACTGCACGTATTGGTATAACACTATCAACCTTCGTATTCTATTTAATTAAAAACGTGTGCATTGAGTCCCAACATAGATGCTTTCCTTTCATGTATATGTCATAATTAGGTCATCGTGATTTAATAGTGCAAGACAGACTACAAAAACACAATTCTATGTTAAAGCACACTTACAAGTAAAAGGACTAGGGAAGGGTTAATCAGACAAGCATTCCAAACATATAGTAAATCTTCAACACACTTAAGTGTTTCATTTCAAGACATTATGTCCACATACCTCATGCAAATGCACCTGGTGACAATTTAAAAGTATGTATAGTGTATTAAAACCACACAGTAACTTTCTTTGAAATGGACATTTTATGAAAATGAGTGTTGGAATATGAAGAAAGCCACAGCACTTTTGCACCTCATGAATGTCACAAAAATTAAGATATCTATTTAAACTCTTACTATTGTAGAGTTGTGGTTTTTTTAACTGTTGATTTTATCACAATGAGAGAAAAATGAGGAATGGAAATATTTAAAAAAAAACCAAACTCATAAACATGGCCAAATGTCTTTAACTTACAGAGAAAACCTAGTTATATTTCACAACAGGAAGATTTTACAAAAGAAAGATTATTCCCTATTACAAAAATACATCTTCCCAAGACACTGCTTAGCATTTTATATAGCTTGCCTGGAAAAATGTAATGTTATTTTTTCAAGGCAGTATTTTTTACACTGTTTTAATTTTTTAAAAAAAATATTGATTTTTTTTGGCATTTCAGCCTTAATTATAGCCAAGTTTAAAACAGCTTGCCAATTCAGCATCCTTATCCTTGCCTGCCTCCTAAAAGGAATATATTTTAAGTATTCAGAAAACAAAAACACATTTTCAAAGAAGACTATGCACGTGCTAATTCTTCTTATTAAAATCCTATCACACTTTTAAAATTGCTGCCAACTTCTTGCTTTTGTCAGCGGTACTAGTTTCCCACAATAGGCACTGCTGGAGCACCAATTCATTTCAACATCTCTACTGCAACATTTTACGTAGACTTAGCGCAAAAACTCTAAAAATAGTATGAAACACTTAATCCATCTCTGACAAAACAGCAGCTTCTCTTTCCATAGCACATCTATAAATCAGCTTAAGGCAAAAAGTGCAGAATGCTATCACATCCTACTGGAATTATGAGAGGAATTGCAGTAGACAAAATGCAATTACACATTACAAGCAAGGTTAACAACCTCATAACCTTGGCAAATGCATTATAAGAGCTCCAACGATCAAGTTATCAAAATGTATTTTATGTCACATTCAACAAACACCTCTCTCGCCAAATCATTCCTACAAACACTTTACCAGGATGTTAATTTCAGAGAAAGAGTGCCACCTACTGAATCAATGACATGACTTGCTGCTGACTTCTACACTTTTCCTCAACATTTGCCTACTCAAACATAAAAAAGTCCATTCCTCTTACCGCGGTGAAATACACTGTACAGCTCCCAGACATTAAGGAGCCGCACCCTGAATACCTACAAATAGAACTTATCATTTTTGAAAGGCAAACTGCACATGCAGAGGGTGGCCAAACCTCCGACATGTGAAAAGGTTAAGTGACCTTAATTGAATTGCCATCTTATGTTCGAAATAATTTGTCATCTACTTTACAGTCCTACTGTACAGTCCCCATCTCCGTCAAACGCCAGTACCAGCTGAATCACAGAAGTGGATAAATCCACCACAAAGGACACAATGTAAGATGTCCTTAGACGGAAATTTCTTCCCAAATAAAAGCAGATTAGGCAAATATCTCTCTTGAGACATGAGGGGTTAAACCTATTTAAGCAGTCAATATTAAAAACTAAGTGACAGTATTATTTCATTACCTTATAAGCTATTTTCAGATTCTGCTAACCATTTTGATTCAATAAATATATGGCAGGAAATTTCACACCCTGAAAGCACACTAAGCATCTCTGCAAGGTTACTGCACTTAGGAAATTAAAACAGGACAATCTAGGACATTTTGTGGGGAGCACAATGTTAAAGTCAGACTTCCAAAGGCTTTTTTCTTTTTTTTTTTTTTTTTTTTTTTTTCTTTTTTAAAGTACTTCTTACTATCAGGAAGCAGGTCAAATGGGCATTTACCCCACAGTAAGCAAGATTCTCCTCTAATTTTGCATAATGTGACAGATAACATTTCAAATACAAATTGGAAATACAAGATTTTTAGCTCAAATACAATCATCTCGTGTTCATAGCAAAACCTTAAAAATATTTCTACCTACAAATCTCAAAATCTAACATGCATAACAGTTTAAATGTATGCAGCTGCTATAATAATAACAATAATAATGATGATGGTGATGATGATGATAATATTAAAGTATGCCATAAACAAGATCTCCCTATCCTTATAGAAGAAAAAAAATCAAGGACTATTTTTATAGGTTTTTAATGTATTAAGAATAATTACCCAAGCAAAGACCTAGGTGTTAGCTTGTTGCACTCAGATTTTCATTTTTTTCCCCCCTTTAGGGAACACACACACGTAAGAAGAACAGAGGATAATTCTACTTTTTAAAATCGGTATATACTGCTTTAGAAAACAAGATGATCATTCCTCACCTAGTATTAGAAAGAAAGAAAAAAAACCCCAAAGTAGAAATGGGTCCAGGCTGTAAAAAGCCTCAATTTTTCTTGTCTCTACATATGGAATCATTGCCCTGGCTTATACTTGTAAATTTACAGTACAGTCCATAGAGCAGACTGATGTAAGTCAATGTGATTTAAATAACTGTGAAGATGTAAGAAATCACAAACAAAAACGTCTTATAAATAGCATATTTAAAATATATACTATTTTAGCTATTTTACTAAAGAACCATTAATCATTACAAACAGGAAGGAAGACACCTTAATTTTTAATTAAATAGAAGTGTTTCTTGCTTTCCTTTGCTTAACTCTAAATGAGCTCAGTCATAAAACTGAACTGAATAAACTGAAGCAAAGAAAGATCCTTTTCTCTACCCACAAGAATGGTTACAGTCATCACAAACTAGTTTATCATCTTGACAACAAAACAGGTTTCAGTTGCTTACACAGAGGCTTCTCCCAATTGTTTACATTTCTTTAAAACTGCAGTGGGAAAGATGATTGGTAAACCCAATTTATTTTATTTAAATAAAAAAAATTGTATGTTGTTTAAACTTTAAATAAGTTGCCAGAATTTTAAACAGGTTAGTTTTACATCTCAGAAGTTTAGAAGACTATTTAAGCAGTGAAATTTTGAGTGTATTTTTATCCTTTCCCAGCAGTTGGTTAATGCAGTATTTTGTGGAGGAGACTTTATCCATGAAAGCAGAAGGTCTTGCTATTCTCCAGTTTAGGCAATATATGGGTTTTTCTGCACAAGCCTGCCAACTTGTCACAAACACTCTGACCTGAAGAGATCACATCTCTAGTGACAAAAGGTTATTCCATCTTCATGACCTGCTAGATTCACTGTTTCTTTGACAAGAATGTCAAAAAAGGTGCTTATTCAGTGTCAAGTATGAAGCAGCAGGTATGTCTACAAGGTGAAGGCAGTGCTGTGTAGCGATACCTTAGCTGACAGCATAGCTTTGTCAAGACAGCGCTCTGAAATTTATTGGTATCCCTCAATAAGCAGGCAGACTAGCCCAGGCACAGCCATGCCTCAAATGTGTCTATATTTACATTAGAAGCTGAGCTAGTTTACCCTGACACATCCAAAGCACCTCTGTTCATTATATGTATGTTGACTTACTTGTCTTACATACTCATTACAGAAAATTGACTTGCTTTTAAAAAATCATAACAGCTAGGCTTCTTAAAAAAAAAAAAAAAAAAAAAAAAAAAACCCCCCTTTTTTTTAGGGCTTGAGGACACCTTACTTCTCCCATTCCTCTCCTAAACAGTTCCTTCAGGTTCCATGTTAAAGCTCCTATTGTGCACATAGGGGCACAAATTGGATGATCCTGAAATCAAAGTCACTCACAACCCAACTTCCTTTGGAAAGCTGAGATTTTTCTTGCAACTTTTCTGGATCACAAGCAAGTCTACAATGTGGAGTTGACTTCCAAAAAAATGAAACATGAAATTAAGCTGCAGCATATTTTAGAAACACAGCAAAGCATTAATCACTAATAAATGACTGTGTTACATGGCAGAACATCTACTTTTTTTTCAAACTATGCAACCTTTATATGTCGTTTGGCTCACAAGGGCATAAATGCAAGTGCAAGGGAACTGGTCACATATTCCCTTTTGATGGGCAGCCAGAATTGCACACCACATCTGCTGCAAAATATCATAGTCTTTTAAGTAAGAACAACATCTTTGTTGCAGTTGAGGCTAGAAACTTCTTAAAAAGTCCCTGATGTGACAGGAGCTATTCAGTTAAGGCCCAGTATCTCTAAGACACTGCAGTGCCAACAGATACGTATTGGCCATGCTCATAAGTTAATGCAGGTCTCAACTCACAGACAATATTTCCATTCACATTTCTGATTCTTCTTCCATCTTACCATTTACAACCATCACTAGATACTCTAAGTGTGCACGGTTAAGTCTGCTGTGACTTTATGAACAGACACTGCCTTTTGGATTTACAGTCCCCAGATCAAAGTAAATTTGATCCTTCCTTTCTTCAGTGGCTAAAGGCTTGGTAGGTGCAAACAAAAACTTGTAAATCCACTTCCTAGAACAAAACAAAATTGCCAGAAATGACCAGGTAAACACCACTCACATGCTTTTGTAGTGGTCAAAAGAAAGAAGCACCTTTGAACACTAATTGCAGAGAATCATGCTAAGACAAATGTTGGAAGCTTATTGGAAGTTTTATGAATTTACTGGACACCTGCATAAAACATCAACTAATTAAATCGTCTAGACAGAAAAAGTTATTCAAAGTGTACATTTAATACTTAACAACAAAAACGCAGCAAAAGCCATGCTAACGATATTGCAGCATTTTATAAAGCATGGATGACTTGTGGTTTTCCAAAGCAAATAAGAGAACACCAATGTTATGAATAAATCTGAGGAACAACCAAAACTGTCACTAAGGAAAATTTTCGCAGATGATAAAGCAATTTCATTCACTATCCAAGACCTTACTTGCTGGTACAGTTGCGGTCTTAGCGCCGAGTTCTCAATCATAGTGTGAACCATGGTGATTAAAGGTTCATTCTCTTTCATCTATTTCAAATCAGGAGGAGCATACAGCAAACATCAGTTTACAGCATGGCTAGATTTGAAAGACGACACTGTAAAATATAGCCTCTACTTTAATTTTTTCTAATAATGCAGTAGATTACATTTTATCCCATGCTTTTTATATATTCCATCATTCAGTAATATCAACATCTGAAAAGTTCAGTAACATCAAAAAAAGTAACAAAACCACATAAATGCTCAAAACCAATGTAACATTTATTCACCAACACTCTCCCTTTTTAAAAATAAAAATGCTTAAAATAAGCCCAACTTTGCATGAGATTGAAATGAAAGGTATTATCGGATTATGCAATAGGAACATGCAAACCTTTACCAGAAAACCTTTTAAATTATAGATTTAATAACTCAATGTACATTAAGAAGATATAAGCATTCCCAGCTTCTTAATATTGAAGCGAGGTTTAGACTTATGTTCACGTATCACAAAATGCCTTTATATACTGCACTGATTTATATACTTAGGAACTTTGAATCATTACCCATTGTATTTATCCACCCTCATATATGGGTGTGAAACTCTTTCAGAACTGGTCAGACATTTTCTATAATGATTAGTATTTATTGATGTGTGTGCAAATGTCAAAACCAGATACTTTGATTATTACAGTAAAAATTGCAACACAAAATAGTATGGGATTTTTGGGTTTAAAAAGGAGACTTTCCTGACAGTAAGGAAAAAGTTATGAAAACAGATAGTTTTCCTCTCCAAAGGAAACTGAAAAGTCACTTAACGCACAATCCCCCTCCTGTTTTTGTTGGAAGCTTTAGGACCTATTGAAAATTTTAGGAAACTTTAGCAATACCTGTTTCAAGTATAGTTACACAGGAAGGAAGTGTGTGTATGAATATTTATGATCTTTCAACTCTGTCTTCATGTATATATATGGCCTCACCATGAATTTGCATGGGAAGGTTTTGTCTCACAGATTGAAATGCAACAGAAAGCCTGAGTTTTTGATGCCTTTTGGAATTTCTTGCCCCTAATTACTTAGGATAAAACCTAACTTGTACATTTGGAGAAGTATTTTTTTCTTCTCCTTGTAGGAGCCACATTTTTCTTGTTACAGATAGAGGACCTTTTTGTTGTTGTTGTTGTTGTTTTATACATAGTAAAGTCTGATAAGCTGATAAGTTCATCACCCAATAAACAGTACCTTATCTTAAGAAGGCAAGCTTATGATGCTCTGTTTGTTCAAGGCAGGAAAAAAAACAAACGAGCAACCCCTCCCATTGGCATCATCATCTACAGTATACATAAACAGAAAACGAGAACTGACACAAGAAGCTGTTCTCCCTTTACATTAAAATTTTGTCCAGAGAGTGTGAGCACAGGGTGATACCAAAAGATAGCTCAATAGTAAGATCAACAATAAGGTCCAAAGCCAAGCAATCAAACTACAGCCAACTGAAATATTTGTAAAGGAAAAATTGCTCTGAAGCTGAAATATTTTATTAGGAGTATACTGGTTTGGATGCATTTTTATTAGGGGGATTTCAACAGCTTCAGGCTGTTTGGCTAATTCTTTTTTACAGAATTTCAAATTTTTCTTTCTGACTAATAACAGACACTGGAATTAATTTCTGTGGAACTGTTCAAAGATTGTTCTTATCCAGATTAGAAAAGAAGAAAAGTGGATTTCCTCAAAAGATGTTCCTAAGTAATGTTTTGTCCCCCAGCCAGCTCCAACTTTGATTTATAGGACTTCTTCCAATATTTTTACTACCATTGGTGCTTAACTGTGCTTATCTAACACTGCAAAGGCCAGTTATTTCCAGAAAAGCTCCAGTTCCTTAAGCCCTTATGGAACAAAGATGAAAAAACAGATAATTGGTAAAGTAATGCCAACCAAAGAGCCTTTATAGCAGTCAAATATAGCAAGCTTTTTGTCCATTTAGGAAATAACATTTCCAAAAAATACTGATATTTAACTATTGAGAAGTTAAGTTCTTGAGGGAGTATGTATCTGTCACAAACCTTCCATTAACTAAAGCTAGCGCACACGCAAGGCAATGCATACTGAAGAACTGTCAAAGTAAACTAGAGCTACGCTGTACACAACGGCAAGTCCCATGCTCTAAAAGGTGAAGAGGATACCTATTTTGTGTTCTTAAAGCATTATCATGAGGCTACTCCCAAACTGAAGCTGGACACTATTCACATTGAATAAATAGCTCAAGGAAAAATATTTGCTTGTTCACAACAGAAATAAGCCTTGATTTTCTCTCACTTCCAAAAAAAAAAAAATATTGTACAGTAAAGGATGCCTTTTAGATCCTATGTATAATACTAATAGCATTATAGAGTCTCTCCACTTAAGTCAAAAAAATTGGAATTAAGATTTTTATAAGCAAACTGAAGTGTGAACTGCCTGACGCCACACAGCAACACAGCAGTAAAACCAAGGAAAATCCATCAGTCCTGGCTTTATCACTTTCTACTTCTAGTAAATAACACTTTCTTCCCAGAAGTGATGTTTCATCTTTGTTTTTTTCTTTACTAACGTAGTATATAAAAGCATTTTCCAGTTGGAAGCAACGAAAAAATACCACCTTGACATATGATCTATATGAACAGCTACATTATTTATGAGTGAGTACCTGAGTGGGTATTTTGTGTTTTAAACTGTAAAGCCAAACTATTGACAATTTTTCTCTTCCTTCCTTTTCCTAAATTCTCTTCTGTGTTTGATAACACCCTATACGGATGACATTTCAGTATGTGCTGTTCTGGTGGCAGCGATCAGCTGGAATAGCGGCTCCCTACCAGGACAGTTGACCTCACTGATAAGACCATATGTTTTGGGTGACAAAAGACTGAGCTCAGATTGGCAGTTTTACCCATTTCCTCTCAAGCTTCCTGATGGTAAAAGCAGTGGCAATAGGACCTGACCAAGCTTTTCTCCCACCTTTCCTCTGCTCTTTAATCTTCTGTCCAAAAAAAGAAGGAAAAAGCACTTTTCCTTCCTGCTGCCTTTTTACAGCAATGCTGCCTCCAGCGCAGACTTTTTTTCACCCTACAGAGCCCCTGTCCTTGAGCCTCCCTTCTTCCTCTGGGGAGGTAAAAGGGAAAAAAAAGCAGCAGAAAGAACAACAGTGGTGGCTGGGTCAGCTCACTCTACCTTTTCCGGATAACCTGAAAAATACAAGTAAGAGTAGTAATCCTATATTTTGCTAATATAGGACATAGAATTCTAGGCTGAAACACAAGATATCAGATATAATACACGATATCTGTCAGCTCTATCCAAACCCCCTTGTACTATTCCGGCCTCCCCTAATTTACTACGTTTTCCCAGAACCACCTTCAGCGTCTCAGAAAGAGGGTGGTGAAGAGGAAAAAATGGAAGCGAAACACCAAGACAGTATGGATGTTGGCTGTGGGACCTGCACTCCTTTATTTCTTTATTTGACAACTTCTTGTTCAAGTTCTGTTTATTTTTATGCACCCTTTGAAAAGTGAAAGAAACTAAAAATGAAAGTACCAGCAGAAGTATATGAACTACTTAACACCTAAACTATTTACATAAATAGCCATTTCAAAAAACGGGAAAAAAACCCCAAGACTAAATGAAATTTAGTAGAGCTTCTACTGTAACAAACCAACTTGGGATATGCTGAAATCAGTATGACAACATGCATGGAGAGTTTTACATACATAGCTTGAGCTCAGTAGAAAAGAGTTTTTCAACCAAAGAAAAGTTTTACTATGAACATAAAATTCAGAAGTGTACTAAAAGACTGGTTTGCTGGAATTCTCCATAGTAACAGAAAGATTCAAGTGGGACCTCCTGCCCCAGCTTTATTTACAAAGGAGAAAAAAGCGTGTCTAGCTTTTATTTGAAAAAAAATTCCTACTTTTTGTTCCTGTTATTGTAATTACTGGGTACAAATGCATTAAGGAGACTGCTGGCTTGGATTTAGTAATACACAATAAGTCATCCCTTAAAATTTGATAATGCAGAAGACTGAGATTATATGTGCCCTCATTGCCATCCCACGTTGGCAAACAAATCATCATTGCCTAGGGTTGCTAGCTGTGTTGCAGGAACTACTTCCTAAAAGGCAGATGAGTCTCTCTCCCACCTCTCTATGAACCTTGAGCCAGCAGAGTGGTTCACAACCTCACTTTAAAAAAAAAGGATGCTGGACAATCATTCTTTGGACATCAGAGAAATCATATGGTTGCACGTAAGTGTGTCAAGTCTCTTCAATCTTTTCTTCCCTACCTCTGGACTCCAACAACAACAACAAAAATTCTGAAAGTGTAACACAAAAACATCAAAAAGTGTATCTAAGCATGTCAACAGGAAACAGCAGTACAAAAACAAAGTATGATTTAAAAAAGGCTATGGGATATTCTTGAGTCTTGATAAGAAAGCCACCTAACCAGTATACACCAACTTACTGCAACAGCATAAAAGTTACCCTCCCTACACATGAACTTTAGTCTGCCTGAAAAATTCACCTGTGCAACCTTGGTACAAACTTACTAATTATTGTTATGCACAGTACTGGATTCTTTGCGACCAAAAAGGTGAGAGTTGAAGATAACAGGACTGGAGTTCCACCACATGCTTTAGGCAAAGCAGGTTTTGACACTATTTTCAGGGATTAATACAAGCGGAAATACCTTATTTAAGTACACTGGACATTTAAAATTCAAAGAGGGCAAGTGATTATGCAAGCTGGTTACAGTTGTGGATAACGAGGAAGAAAGGTCTCAACTAGACTAAAAAAAACTTTGATTTTTTTCTTCCCAACATAAAAGAAAACTGATAATGGACAAAGTAATAAAAAGATATAATGAGATACCACCCCTAGAAGCAGTGGTACTCAAAGCAAAGAGAGTCTCAGGGGTATTTATTTCATACAGGTAGGTTGCAGGATTATATTAAGACAAGGGAAAAAAAGAAAAACTGATCAGAAACTGGGACAAGTATTCCAACCTGCTCTTCCATGATTTTGTAATTAAGGTAATATATTTTAGACTTGATAATGATTTCTTGCTGTAAGAAGTGCAGTGATTTCTTGTATCTCTGGTAGGGGTAATTATGGCACATTTGTAAGATTTAGACACTTCCCTAAATTAATGTTTATCACATCACTTTTCTAAATTTTATCTGATGCAAGTCAAAAGAAAATCCTTCTTATCACTTTGCATGTTATATATAGGCAATTCTTTCTGTTCAATCCTGTCTATTATACTCACAAGCTTGGCTAATCAAGCAACAGCATGGTACACAGTTTCACACTTCACATAGACAGTTATCTTTTCTTGGCAATGAATTACACTGTTGAAGACAGAATTACTCCCTTATTCCAAAACATTATAAACTGGAAATATTCGAGTTGGATGAAATATTTTGGCCAAATTTAGCAAGCAGTTTTTCCCTACTGTTTTGGAACTCCTGCAGCCCCTTAAGACAGAGATGTTTAGAAATGCATTGGCATCTAACTGAATTTGTCACAATTCACACCTTGTTTTCAAGAGATAATAGGAAAATAAAGTCACTGGGTGAACTAAGTGCATGTGTGTGGATGTCTCTGTGTGAGTGTGTGGTTTTTAGTAACTCACTGAAATCCTATTAGAGGAACAGGTAGGACATAAAAGTTCTAAGAACAGTTCGTTTTAAGTGTAAGGCTGAAAAAGTTCATTACAAGAAAGAATATTAGAAAAAGAATAAGCTGTATTGATTTTTATATCTTTAACTAATGGACATGTAGTTGCTTATATCTCTTCTAAGCACTTATGACTGTCTTTCATAAGTGTCAGCAAAAATTTCCCATTTAAAAACTTCTCACACATAACTTGTACAGAAATCCCTTTTGATCGTGCAACAAACCCATAAAAAGAGGTATGTGATATCACAGTTCTTCACTTGGCAATCAATTATGTTAGTGAAGTCAGAATTGTACCCTCACTCCATAAATTATCAGAAATTGTAAAGAAGTAAAATCTTTTAAACCTTTAAGAAATAACTGAGTAAAAGGAGAAAAACTAATGAGCCATGCTATGATTTGCTTAAAACATTTTTTCCTGTTTGACCTCCCTTTCATTTAGTGTCCTGTAGAAACATCTAATTCTTCTTAATTCAGAAAACTAAAATTATCAGAAGTTTCTATAAATTGCATGTGTGTCATATGAGCTTGGAAATATATTACGCCTCTGATTAAAGATGATACAATACTACAGTTAGTGTTATTATAAGAAGGAAATAAGGAACAGAAAAATTAATTGGTGGGTGGCTACTGTATTCTGACAATTTTTAAATTGAGGGTTTTTTTCCCATTACAGGTCAAATTTGTAACTGATTAAGATATTCTGTGCTACTTAAAAAGGGTGTTTATTAAATATCCAATTTGATAAAAAGCACTGAAAATCCTTCTCCCCAAATATTTCCAGCTTGATAGGAGCAGGCAAAAAGCATTAAGAAATGTAAACACACAAGAAAATTGCAAATCCCACCTGATGATCCAAATATATGGCATTCCTTTGAAGGTGATGTGAAAGAATCTCATTCTAGTAGGCAGCAGTCAGGGAGAAAAAGGAAAGGGACAGAAAGTGCAGAATGTATGAAAAGAGCTTTAAAAGATGTAAACTAGACAGTGATCTTTCTGTTTTATGTAGAAATATAATGCTGCTTTTATCTGCTTTTTTTGGTGAAGTGTTAACAAGTTCTGATCCCAAAACAGAATTGATGAAAGTTTGCCATGAATCAGACTACGAACTACTACATTACATTTTGGCTTTACATATAAAATACAGTAAGCTAATGTAAATTTCTACTACACAGAGAACTATAAACCCTTTGATAAATCTGTGTTTTAAACATGTCCTGATTTATCTACACAGATTACACGTAAGATTGTATCTGATATGAGGCAGTATAAACAATAAATTAATCTCATGATCTATCACCACTGATTTTGATTAAAACAATAGGTAAAAAACCTTTAACTTTAAACTTAACTACCATATATTTTGAATTGTTCCTATGTAATTTTGACTTAGCTAATATCAAAAAGCTGTGAGTAAAGCCTCAAAGGGTTAATAGCAAAACATTACATACACAACCAATGTTACTCTATTCTACTCCCATAGCAGTCAGAAAATTTTGCACTAACGGTACAATGCAAACTTTGATTAATGAATGACTACAAGTTAGTGAGAATGGTACATGACACACATTGCTTTATAGCTGACCTTTGGGCTGCTGGCCTCAAGTTTTAGTTGCATGAGCTGTGCTAGTGTGTGTTCCCGGATACTACTCAGTTCAGCTTGCTGCCGTCTCAGCTTTATTAGCAGCAGCGTGAGCTCCTCTGGCTGAAGGAGTGCAGTGTGCGAAGCCAAAGAGTAGAAAAAAGGTTAATTGGTATCCTGAACAACACTTAATTAAAATAAGGGTTCTTAGTATCTTTCTTACAAAAACTTTCTATAGTGATACAACAAAAGATACACCATTCTTCCCCCAAAGTGACCACTTTCAAATATATAATGAAGGGTTAACTTTTAACTACGCAAAACAATTGATACTGCAAATGCTGTAGAAGTGGAACATTCTATATAAAGGACAAAAACAAGTGAGGATTTTGCAGGAGAAAGTCTGTGCAGCCCTCAAACTTTTTCTGACATGCATTTCAAACTGATGATATTGACTTAAGTAAAAGGGGAGATAATTCCAGCCCTTAGGATATCATTACCTGTACATGGACAGCCATTTGAGCTGGGTGAAAGGATGGCCAAAATTAAAAGTAAAAATAATAAAAACCCCACGATAACTGAACTACATCAGAAACGATCACCTTTCACAAAATAAAACTGCACAAGCATGACAAAAATAATTTTCCATCCCACCTTCCACAGGTCAGAGGCTACCAGTTAATTTATTGCTTTACTTTTATGACTAAGATGTACAATACAGCCTTAGGAAGGGATGAAGAATAGTATTTAAAGTCCAAGGTTATATATATAATGGAAATAAAGTCACACTCAAATAGGTATTTGTCAGGTAATTCCACACAGATCAGTTTAGGTCAGTTTGGGAAACTCTACCTGAACCATTCCTGGGAGCCACTTCTATTAGCAATACTTTAAAGAAAACAAACCCATTAACATCACATATTTTTGTTATGTTCCTGTTTGCTTCTGTTTCTTACACTTCTCCAGAAGTCAACCTTATAAAAAGTTAAATATTCACCCAGCATTTTGATTTCCCCACAAGTTCTGCGAGTTGAAAAACCCAAAACAAACCCAAACACAAAAAACCCCTAAAACCCCGCTTGCTCTTTCCCACAGTCACAGAATTTCCCCAAAGCAGAGTAAAGAAAAAAGCTCCAGAGAACCACATATTAAATTACTGAAAAACGAATACCAGTTTCTTAGAATAAAGAAGAAAAATCCCCGAGACTAAGCGTGGTACTGGCACCGTTGTGAGCTCGTACCAAAGGAACCCACAAGAGGGAGCAAGGGATCGCCACATAGCTTCAGTTGTCAAAACCAACACCAAAGCCAAATCGTCTAATGGCCAATCTTCCTCTTAGAGTACTCTTTCAATACCTGGATTTGAAATACTGAATTTCAGAGAGTAAGCGTAAGAATCTAGACTGCTATACAAGACATTTTTGAGTTCTCTCCAAAAATCAGTGACAATGCTTTCAGTCTGAAAATTAACATCATTTCAAAGCACAAGAAAACTTATTTTTAGAAATAAGAGAATTAAAAGTAGCATCTTCAAACAAAAGGAACAGTGAATCACTTTTTCAAGATCAAAACTCTTCTCAGTATGTTCTGCAAAAGCCCGATTTTAGTGCATTAGGAATCAACTCTTTAATGGTACTTAAATGCAACGTTTGCAAGCAAACTTTTTTCCATAGAGGAGCCCATCGAACAGTAATTCCTACTCCTCTCTAGACATTCACAATGTCGCAAACATTTTTGACATTGCTGTAAGTGGTGTGCTTTTGATACAGCTCTTGGGACTCTTGCAACAACCACAACACAACATTTTGTTTAAAGAGCTACCTACAGGTTTCCTCCTCCAGCCCCTGCAACACTTGTGTTGTGGGCAGGACTTCTGGATTCTACAGGCAGAAGCTTGGACCTCCTTGCCCCCTACCCTGCTCATCAGCCCAGCTTCAGCCCAGGGGAGCTGATGGGGCCATGAACCCAAAGAAATGTCTGCAGAAGACAGGGCGCAGAGATAAGGCACCAGCTACCAAAGGCCAACCCCTAAGTTGCTGAAGGTGCCAGGGATTCATGCTGGGAAGTGCAAGAAACAGGGGTCGAGGCAGTGGAAGGATGGACTGGGGAGCTGTTGCCCACAGCATGATTCAAAATCTGTATTCTTAATTCATAATGCTCTCAAACAGTAATTTCCGATGGACGGAGAAAGATTACGGAAAGGAGACAAAAACTGGTAAAGAAATGACATAAGTTTAGGACTATCTCTTAGCTTTTGGCTAAGAGTCATCTTTGAATGAGGAAGGTGGATGGTATTCACCCATATTACTTCGATGAGAATTTCAGCTCTACCACAGTAAAACAGGAGATGTCAGAAAGGGCACAATTTTACCAAATGCAATTTTAGCATCCTCAAGTTTTCCAAAAAAGGTGAACTTTACTTCCAGGATTTTCTAAATTAATGGAGAAATAAGTGTTCTGGGATGTATTCTACCTTCTCCCAGGAATTTCAGTAATGGATCAAAGATGATTTTTAAAAAAAAAATCATCTGTATTTCTCAAAGAAAATCTGGACTCGGCAGCTACACAATATTCTCAGAATTCAATGGAACCACAGAGGAATATTTTATTTGCTTTAAAAATCCCTGATAATTAAAATAAAGGCTACATTTAATGCAACCTTTGAATAGAATAAAATTTCAGTGTTGCCTCTTCATACTTAAAGCATTAATCTTAAAAGAACCCTGATGTACCAAATAAAAATGCAACTCACTGTTTTGCCTTGGAGACTCTGAGGAGTAACAGGCTGTAAACTCAGACCTGCTGGCATTGACCTTCTGTCAGGCACAAAGACATGCTGTACAAAAACAAAATAGCACAGTATGAGCCATAGTTATCAAAAAACCTCAAAAACTATTAAATGCTAAAAAAAAGTCAAGCCAACTTCATGCTCATGACAAATTTGCTATGATTTGTGCCAGCTTTGGCCAGTTCTGCTCTCTGCTGATCTACTATCTAGGACACTTGAGTAGCCTACCACTAAATTTTAGAAATACCCCAGCTTTCATCATTCATTTAATTAGCAGTCCTCCCTCAGAGCTTTTGCCCTACTGATAGCCCATGTAAACAACAATTTTAGTTTGTCACCCATCACTGAAAGCTGTTTAAAAACCTAAGACCTCTATATAGATAGAGGGGTTTAAACCTTAATTTACCTTACTGATTTGAAATAGCCAGTCTCCCTCTTAAAAACATGTCTGTGTTTTTAAGTTAATGGCAAAAGGTAGTTGTGTAACTAAAAAAATATGAACCAAATAGCATGAAAAACCAAAGGTAAACAGAAGTCTTGTACAAAAGACACTAAATATGAACTGAAATGCTAGCATAAAGTGTTTCACAAGGAAGAAAAAGATATCAGAAAGCAAAACATGGCTGAAAGGACAAGTAAGCACATGCTCTGCAGCACTGACCCTAGTGATATTTCTCAGGTGTGTGAGAAGTACTGACTACTAAATTTCCAGTGCAGTTGAGACATAAAGGATGTCAAAATGACTCTTTTGTTGATAGGGACCTAAAAACTTCCAAAACCAAGACTTAGTAATGAACTGTAAGTTGTTTAAACTTAAACTGCTTTAAGATGCAGTTAAAGATTTTTTCCTGCATCAAGAAACATAAAGACAACTGAGAGAAAGATTTAGGAATAATGTTCCGGAGCATTTTACACAAACTTTAGTTTTATATCCAACTGAAAGTAATTTTTATGTAATTACCTCCAATCTATTAACATGCATAACACAAGCATGATGGATATAGCAGAGGCACATACGGCACCCCGTTTACAATTTCTTTGTGTCTCCATCTCACTGATGAAGACCAGCAAAGTTACACCAGTCAAGCACTAAGGTTGTGTGCAAATAGACTCTGATCTTTAGTGATCTCCCTAATAACTCAAAGGCATCAAAAGAAACCACTATGTTCAGTTTTCTGCTGGAACCCACGGCAGGCAAACTTGTGGCTGAAGAATAGAAAACAGCATGTGGAAAGAAATCTGGGATTTGCAGTCCTCAGAGTTCCAGCTAAAAAAAGCTAGAAAGGAGAAAGATTTCTGTACATACAACAAACTATTATGAACATTTTGCCTATTGACTCCTTTTCTATCCTTTAGAGAAACAGAGTATCAAGGACAGCAGTATTAGGACAACATGTTTTCACTTAGTGTATTAAAAAAAATGCCTTTTTACTACCTTTACATTTTTAAATGCTTTTTAAAATCAAACCTTTCTCCATAAAAACAGTGATCTAACTTAATCTTCATTATAATAAAATACAGTGCAACATGAGTTTTACAGTAACTGTATACTTTCTACTAAAAATCCTTGTAAATAAGATTTTCAACTACTAAAATAAGTATTTTTACCTTAGTATGATGCGTCCTGTGTCTGCGATCAATAGTTACATCTCCCCTTTGCACCGGTGAAGACACTTCTGATCTGTAGGTCCGCTGTGGGGAATATCCTTGGAAAGCAGCAATTGAACCATGAGAAGGTGAGGTGGGAATTGAATGCATCGTCTGATCAGAAATATTAATCATAGTTTTTGGGCTACTTAAAGTACTATGTCTAGTAAGAGTTGTTTGCTTATTGTAAAACTGACGTTGCTGCCATTCATAGAGCTGCCACATTGTGTCATCGCGCATCGACCTCCGTTTTTCTTCGGCTGTAACTGGTCCCATGGCTCTGTCGTAAGCCGATGGCGTTACGCTGCAGAGGCTGTCTGGCCGCGCTTTGCTGTTTCTTGGCAGTGTTCTGTAGCCTTCTGGGTAACGAGGTAAAACTTGAGCTCGATGGCTTGGCATGTTTCTTGGTAACGTCTGATATGAGATTATGCTGAAACACAAATTTTCTTTTTATTAGTGGACAGCATTAATATTATGGCAATAGAGTTTTTTAATATTTGTTAGGTTTATCTAGTTAACGCTTACCTTTTTTTTTAATACTACAGGTACCATTTTAAAAACATGCAAGAAAATCAAGACAACCATCAATTAAAGAATCAACTATATTGATTGAATGTACTGTGGCAGCTGAAACTCGATCCTCTCTCTGATTAGCTGCTTGATTATATAATCCATATTTCATCTTTTTACCAGTTGAACAGTTTAGTAATGTTAAGTTTAGATCAAATCTTGTAACCTGTCTATATGCTGGACAGTTCAGAGTTTTGAAAGCTTTGAAGTTCTATCCTGTTTCCATATGAGCCCATTTTTCAAAAGTGAAAAAAGCTCTCCTGTTGTTTCCCTAAGAAGATCTTGAGCAATTACTATGGACATAAGAAAAAAAAAAAATTTTAAACAGCAGACCAAGGAAAAATAGCAGTAATTGTCTAATGAAATTACATTTTGCAATTGTCAAGGACAAGCCATTCCATATCAGCTACTCAAGTGAAACAAATAGCAAAATATCATCTTTGTTTTATAATAATATTGTATTGCTTTTCAACTCAGATATGAATTCAAAGGCTTATTCTTTAATTTGTTGCCACATTAAAATTCTGGAGTGCTACAGTCATTTACCAACTTTCAGCATTAGTTGAAATGCAAAATTTTCCATACCACGTATCGATGCATGCTTAAGCATGACAAAGCATTTCTTGCTTTCTCAGAGGACAAAATCTAGGTCATAAACATTGATTCATTCAACCTTTATCTAAAATTCAGATGAGCACCTCTTAAAGCGTTTTGCTACTGATCACATCTATGATAGATGCTTGCCCACAGACAACAAAACTGATCTCAAATTGGACATGATTCAGCCCTCAGAGGGCAGCAGCTTCTAACTACATCCCAGACTAATTCAAACTAAAATCCCTGCCACCACGAAGCACCAGAATCTGAAGACGGTTTTGAATTACTTCAGTGCCACAAAAACATTAAAGAAGTGATGTAGGGCAAATGGCAAGGTAAACCAGCATTATGGATGCTAGATGCTTATGGAATAACTATCAAGGAAATTGATGATGGTAAAATCCACTTTTCACTGAAAATAGTTAAGCTGAGTATTTATGATCACCTGTAACATTTTGGAGATGAAAACTGCTATAAAGAGCTTTACATACACAATCCGTCTGCTACAGTTTCTGCAGCTTTCTAAGAATTAATGTAGTATTATCTCCATTTTGTAGATTGGACAGCTTTCCATTCTCACCAAAAAAAATATAAAACAGGGAAATGGACTCTAAATCCTATTCTTTTGCTGCAAAACCTGTTTAAATACCTCTAAATTTCTTCATGTAACATACCATTAAAGATAAGTGCTTTTCTCCATCTCCATATTGAAAAAACAAACAACCAAGACCCTTTTGGGTTCAATTTCTAACTTTCAAAATATTATTTTAGCTATTCACAAGTGGGTATGGGGAAGCCTGATGTTTTCAATGAAGATATCTGGTAGCTAGATACACCTCACTCACTGAAGCTCCTCTCCCATTTTATTAATCAAATGGGCAGTGTAATCCTGTTGGCTCCTTTAAATATCCCAGACAACCCGATGAAAAGCTGTCTGAAGATTTACTATGTAAAGATAGCAATTTAAAGTCTGCATGCAACTACTTATGTTCTAGAACATTTAGGACGATAACATATCCAACTTCTATTGGTAAACCATGAAAACTGTAAAAAGGCCAACCACCTCAATATTAAGCCTTGTTTTTATCATTTGATAAAATCAAAACAGATTCACCAATGTCCTGTTGATACTTGCAAAAATGTCATTCTAGTCAAATCCAAAGAACAACTTCAGACAGTACTGCAGCTTACGGCTGCCTCGCACACAAAGGGCGACTGCTGCAGCCAGTCAAGCAGTCACGCACACTGTGAATTGTAAAATATTTCTGCAACTGTCATCATAAAAAGCTCCCTACAAATGTTCCCATGTGAAAAAAAGGCTTCCACATGAGTTTATAGACTCCTCAGACACCTTTAGAGGTTGTCCCTAGGATTACTGTTGGGTGGCAATACTGGTTCCAGTGTCCAGGTTGGACTATTTGGGAAAGCAACCTTGCTGCTAAACTTCTAGGGGCTCAGTCCTGCAATGTTATGAATACCCTCAGATCGAAACCTCAAAATAGTCCTTCATCCTAAAGAATGCAAATACCAGCTGGTCCAGAATACAGAACTTCCACACGCGAATCAAGCAAAGGGTGGCAGAGTGAAGATGGAAACCTGGTGCTGTACAGCAGGCATTTCTTACATAGGATGAAGCTTATATGGGCAAGGTGGGGAGACAGAGTCTCACATCCTGGGTTAGCAGCAACAAAAAACCTCACTTAGTACCATGCAGCCCTTCTAAATTTTTTTCACATTTGAGAAAGACCACTCAAGTGGACCGCTTTTGGTGAAAACGTTTACTAGTAGCTGACTTGTGCAAAATTAATTAAATAAAATGATACTGAAGTGGAATGTTTTTATTTAAAAAATATTTATTTTTGTTTTTTTAAAAAAAGGTTTGTCTTCCTCATGGCATCAGTTGCTTTTATTTGTGTGGCTCTTGCAAAACTAGATGTCTAGATCCACAGAAATGGCAGATAACAGCTTCAAGAATTAAAAAACTACAATGCCATCATTCTCATCAGTCAAATTACTAAGGGGTCAGCCTGTTCCTCTAAAAAATTAGTAGCTTTACAGTGAAGTCTTTTCATTCCGTATTGAGGGCAGCTAACAGCTCCTATTTTATATATAGTTATTTAATTGAATCTGTTTGTTAAAAATTTAATATTCTTAAAGAACTAAATTTTTTTTTCAGTCTGACACACCAGAGATACTCAGTTTTGTTCTCCGTGACTTCTCTAACACATCAGAGAGACGTATACAATGGATAGCATCTTTGTTAAATGTCAGCAACTTTTCCCCATTAAGTGAAGTCTACTCTTCTCATAAATTCAAGTTATGAGTTGAACAGGACCTACGACAAACAGCCTTACTAGCCTCTCACCCCAACCTTAAGCTTTAACATAAACTGGAGCTTCCTACTCTCATTCACCAACTTCAATTCTACTTAAATTTCTGTCTCCAGCCAGAAACTGGCAACCTGAACAAAAGTAAAATTTAAAATTTAAATGAAACCACATTCTAAAGACATCACTATACATTAGAAATGTCGATCATTATTCAAGACCACTTCCACACAAAGCAAAAAAGATAGCTCAAGGCAAATTCTTTTCAGTTTGCTACTTTTATGTAGAACTGCGTTTGAAAGCACACCCTTTGTGCTATCAATGCCACCCTTATTTAAGCAACAAGTGTTCTCTATAGTCAAGAATAAAATATTGTTAATTAGTAACATATTGTTAACAGTACTTCCCTCTATTTGATTCCCACGATGAAATCAGTTTTAGGGTTTTATACTTGTTCGCAACTGAAAAATGGCACAGCTATTCAAATTTTTACTGTTTTGTTGCAAGTTTTATAGTCCAATTTAAAAAAAAATCTAATTGCATCAAAGAGCTTTCTCAGTTCTCATTCTGCAGCATGCATTACAAAATAAATGTCAGGGTGTGCAAGTCGCTGTCTGCACTGCAAGTTCAAACTTCATCAAACTGCTTATGTGGAGTATTTCATGAAACAACACATTAACAATTCCTAATTATATTTAATGAAGGACTAATGGCAATGAGGAAATGTTCAACCAATATTGGCAACTGTAAGTCAAACTAATGTAAATTTTTCAAGTTTTGGCAAAAACTGAAAAGCCCCCAACCGCCATATTTTGAAATTTGCAGAAAACACATTTTCTGAACTTGGTTCTGTCTTAAGCTCTGCTCTGTCATCTATCCATACACAAACTCCCTAATTTCCAGCTCTTCAAAATACCTCCTGTGATAGCATCTCCATACTTCCTATCTAATGTAATATTGAAAACTTTTATATTTTACTTCTAGAACTGCTTGTCTGTAAGCCATCCTGGAAGCAACGTACCTACACTTTTGTCAGACAGAGTAATTGCTGTTGGCACAAGATTCAATATTGTCAATCATTCATACATAATTTTAAAGCTTCATGAATAAGCATTGGAACTCAATATTAGAACTGGGAGATGTTTAATTTCATGACAAAAGAAGCTTTAAGCATCAAGTTAGTTAGATTTCTATGACTTACTCTTAGGTAAAGCTTCTCTCTCTCTCTTTAATTAAAGCTTGTTTAAAGTTTAAAAGATCCCTGGAATATTTTTAAAGAATTTTAAATAAAATATTATTACAAGTATTTGTGAACAAAAATGCAGAAGACAGGGCAATTTCAAGAACAGATTTTAAGAGGAAAAAAAATTGTTATGATTGATGACACCTCTCTGCTGGGATAGAGAAATTTCTAACACCCAAAAAGGGTTTCTGGCCATTTTTATTTATTAAGTTATTAATCTAGTTTAATTTATTACTAATCACTCAAATGTTAATAAAAGCAAAACTTTAATAAATCTGTTCTGAGCAGTCATCCAGGCACTTCTTACAGAGAACAATGAATTATATATTTATGTAATATAGACCAAAACCTAAAGGAACCTCACCAGGATACCTGTCTTAGTATTTGCTAAAAAGCCTAGTAAAAATAAAAATTACATAGTACTTACCCTCTTGTTTCCTCCTCTTGTCCTTTTCCTCTTTGTATTTTAATCCATTGTTCCAACTGCAGCATTGAATTAGTTCTCTGCATAACTCGTTCAGACTCTGTATGTGACTGGACCACACTGTGCTGACCTCCATCTCCAGCGTCTGCCAGGACAACACCAACAGCTTTATTCTCAGACCCATTTAAATGAACTGGTCTAAAGTGTCCAGCATGAATCGTGCTTATGGGTAAAGTCCTGTATTCGGATCCCAAAGGATTTAGCTTTACACTGTTAATTTTCGTTAGTGGTTTATCTTGCCCAACTTTCTGGAATCCATATTTTTCAGCTTCCAAAGCTTTCTTCTCCTCATTTTTGTTCACCTCCTTGTTTTTCTGGTTATTTTGTGCCTCTGGCTTAATTAGCACCCGATGGTTTGAAATATTATTTGCCTCTCGAGGTGGTGTACTTTCAGTGGTTAACTTCTCTACTCTGGAAAGGAATATATAAGAAGCTATAATAGCAACAAAACATTCATTTAAAAATAGTAAAAAATGACAAGTGAATATACTGGTGCTTATCAGGTTTATTTCAGTGAATCCCTGTCCAGATATTTTACACTTATATCTTGTCTTTGAGAGAAAAATCTAGGACATATTTTCACAATAATCAAGGACAGGGGTTTTTTTTGTTGTTGTTTTGGGTTTTGGTTTGGTTTGGGGGGTCGTGGTGGTGTTTGGTTTGGTTTTTGGGTTTTGTTTGGTGTTTTTTATTTTTTGTTTGTTTGGTTAGTTTGGGGGGTTTTTTGGTTGGCGAGTATAAGTGGTTTTTCTTCCACACTTCTCTATTTCTTTGCTATTTTAAAAGCATTTACAACATAGGGTAAATTTTTTAAGCTAAATTCCAGTTAACCCCCTAGAAAAGATGTGCACAAGAAGAAATAAAGCCAGAGTCTGAAAAATAGGATGTTCAGTTCCTGGAGGGCTGGACACTCAACAATAAAAATATTCAGTGGCTCTCCAAGCACTACAGCTTCCAGATGTCAACAGCCTGAAATTCAGATGATTTCTAAAGCCATCTTTAAAAATGGTACCAGATTACATTGCTGACCAGCTTGTGATTCACAATACTGCTGAATTTAACATATAATGAGCTCCTTTAAAGAAAGCAAACAACTTTTCATGGTCATGGGCATCAATTAGGTTTTGCTGGTATGTTATCACTTTGGCTGGCACACGTTTTGTGGAAAATAACTGTGGCTTCCCTAATTTTAAGGGAGAAAATAGCTGCTGACTTAGGGAACTGTACCACAAAAATAATGATATTTTTAGAACAGTTACTGCTCTACAGTACTTATACAAGTACTCAGTGTATGCAGTTCTATTAGCTATCTTCTTTTTAAAATTTCAAAGTGTCAAGAAGCTGTATCATTTTCTGTACTGGGACATAAACTGAACATCCAGCTCAGATAGTGACTTTTTTTTTTTTTCCAGTTTACTAGAAAAAAAACCAAAACCAACCCAAACCATAAAATGTTTTGATCAACATTTTTTTGGTATGGGAGGAAAGAAGAATCTTAATTTTTTAAGAATACATCTCTGTATAAAACCAAAGCAAGAACAAATCTTTATTTTAAGATGATGTCAAATTAACCTTTCACACTGTTTGGCATCTTTTTTGAAAATGTATTATTCAGCTTTATAACTGTGTCCAGTTCAAATGCCTAATCCATGTGTAAAAAGGCCATCACATACACAACTGACCAAGAGCACAAGTATAACCACTCCTCTGAAAAATACTCTAATTCCAAGTAGAAAAACTACATATAGCTGTAAGCATTTTGCTTACCCCATCCTGAACAGCAGGCTTAAATGTCCAACAAGTCTACACTTCCCCAACAGATTATTTAAGCCACGAATTCCCAACAGGCCAACAACTATTTAGGACAGAACCCTAGCAAATACATAAAGGACTGAAAACTGTTAAGGTCCTTATAAAATACTACCCACTGCTAATAGTATTGGACACTTAATTTCAAATGCACCTCCCATTACCACCCTACTCTTGCTATGAATTCTCCATGATGTGAAAGGAATCAAGAGACTCCTACCTTGACAAGTACACCATTTCAAATGTATCAGTCAGAAACAGCAAGACATCAATGTCCTCTGCATACTGTGCCTGAGTTAGAATGAAATGCTCATGCACTTTGCATGTTAACAAGGGGTGTGACTCTTTTCCCCCGAGCCTCTTCCTGACATAGTTGTGATGATCCCAATCTCTTCTTGATACTTCATAATGTTATAGAAGTCCTCCAAAATTCACTGTATTAATATAAGTAGCTCAAAATAGTCCTTTTCTTTCAGTGATTATTCCTGAGCTGCCGATGTGAAAGCGTACACACACGTCAAACGTATTGCAAATGGAAACATTCCTGCCAATAATCCAACATGAATGTCTCCCTGGCTATGTGCATCAGCATTATTTTTAAACACAATATTTTTTCTCATACATCACTATTAAATGCAGAGGTTAGATATATCTGATGTTTTCTGCTAGCAGAAAGGAAAGGGTAATATTTCTGCCAACCATAACTTTCAGAGAAAGAAAATCCCTATGTAGAACCAGGTTTTATGTAGAATTTTGTGGGGAAGGACATGTGGTGGAACTGTTATACCTATATCACCTTTTCTATAATTTCCAAGTATCAGCAAAGAAATTCTGTGATCGTCTCACACTACAATTTAAGTGAGGCGTTTTGTTTTTATTCCCCCCCGAGACTTTAAAAACTGTTCCTAAGACCAAACATTTCTGCCTCGGTTCCTCCTCAAGGTTATGGAAAAAGACTGGATCACCTCCTCCCTCCCACCTCAGAAATACCCAGTGTTCTACCACAAACTGACGGAATTCCCTAAACAGGAAAGCAAATGGAAAACTCCATTTCCCACAACTAGCAAGTCAAAAAAGGGTGTTAAAAATTCAGCTTTCAGCCAGCGCTCAAGAGTTTAAAAATAAATGTAAGGACTACTTTGCAAATAATCCTAAACATGGGCATTAATATATGCAACATGCCTTAACAGTACCACCTACCCCCTTATATAGCTTTTTATGTCAATCTTTTCTCAAGGTACTTTACAGCAGAGAAGCAGTTGCCATTTTTACAGATGGAAATCTGTGGTGCAGAGGGAGAGTGGCATCTCTAAGGATATTCATCAGATATGTGGCAAGACTTGGCACAGTGTTCGATTCACACTGTCATACTACTTTCCACTGTCTGTCTTAATTAAAAACCAACAAACTCCAAAATCACAGAGTTGTTTTTCCATGCAATCTTTATGCTGTATCACTCGTTACTATGGTTATACACAGCAGAGCCAAGCATGTATATTTGACACTCTTTGCGATGGTGTAGAGGCTGAATGACTGACTTTCAAATAGACTTCTGGGTTCTCCTTTAACTTTGTGCTTCAAATCAGTCAACCCAGTGTGAGCAAGAGACCTCTTCCCACAGCAAAGGATCCAAATGGGAAAGAATTATCAGAAACTAATAGGTAAACATAAGAAACATAAATCCATATTTATATTTGGCTCCATATTTATATTTAGCTCTCAAAAACACATTCAACAAAACGTGCAGGGTATTTTGAGGACGGAAGAGGGAAAAGACGAAGCGAATGAGCACTTTCAGCATATACTGAATGCAATTTATAGTTCTCTACAGCCAAACAGGAATAATATGTATGGAAGAGCAATGCAGGAAAAGTACTATTTTCTGCTGGTTTATATAAACAAAATAATTCTGAAAGGGTTGGGCAGGGGGCATGTAATTAAGTTTCAGATGGACATGAGGACTGTGATTTAATAAAGCCAGGCAGAGGCATTTGAAAAGAAAAAGCCTTTTTTTCCAAACCCAGCAACATCAGTAAACCCCCACTGTGGATGTCGCTATGCTAACAAGCGTTTTTTTGGCAGCTTAGCTTATGCTGTTCAGGGAAAGTGGCTACACTAGGAGGAGGAAAAAAAAGTAAAATATCTTTTCTTAGTACATGCTGCATCACTCAGAAGAAACAAAGGCTTTAGCACACACAGCTGACAGTGAAAGGACAGAAAAATGATGCTCTTAAACATGGGAGAGTAGAGAAATCAGCATTTAGGGTAAAAATGATAAATCAGTATGTTGGTGGATATTAGCATCTACAAACACAAGCAAGCAACCAGTACTCATAGATACAACTTAACTGTGGTCTGCAGTGATACAACATGGAGTAAGATGTTTTGCTAATTCAGAGAGGTTGTTTGAGATCATATTTTGAGTCATAGGCTTAAATAGTTCCTCACTGACTAAAGTATTTGTGTTTAATTATTTTAATAGGCCTCTCAGTACATTATTAAACTTGAATTTACTATCTAGGTAAAATTAAAACAAAAATGTTTAGAAAGGAGTAATTACAGTTAAGTCAATAGGACCAAATAATATTTCTTCTTCCCTGCAGTTATACATCAGAAAGGAGTTGTTCTGCTGTGACTGCAGATCAGTTCTAAAAGAAATGGTTACATTTTTATTTTCTCAACTCAGTATCTCATTTCTGTATTATGTTGCTAACTAGATGTTGAAAGTAAGAATATTTTATAGAAAACCTCAGAAAAATAAAAAGATACAAATTGTAGCTCTGAAATTATTTAAAGCTGAAACATTCAATTTAACAGACTGTTGGGTTTGGCTTTCCAGAGTATCATAAGCAGTGAAGTACCTTGACTTCTAGATTTAAAGAACTATACTGTAAAAACTCTGACTTATCATTGGGCTTTTTATATTAATAAGCACTTCAGAGTGGTTCAACATCAGCTTGCATAGATATTTAAGGAAGTAAGTTCTTATTGACTCTAGCTATTGTATTGCAAGTATCTAGTCTGTTAGAAAACTGTATTCAGTACAATGTTAGAACGTCTAGAAAAAACAGAAGTGAGAAATAAAGGTACTGGCTGAATTTGACTGAACCAAAATCATTTATGCTTAGAGCTATGTGCATGCCAAACTTTAGGCTACTTAGAGATGAGGTAATACAATACTTAATAGTTAACAGATTTTTACAGGGAAGAAACAGTATTTCTTCTGGATAAGATCATATCCTGCTACATGGTTCATTTTAAGAACTGGTTTGATAGCCAAAAGATGGATTCTTTAGAAAACAGATGTCTGAAGGATTTTCTTCCTTATTATAGCTAACAGACACAAAAGTCTTTTAGACCTCGCTGGTCTTGAAATGTTATTTTCTCTGAAGTAATTATTTCAAGACTACTAACAAAACTTTTAATAGAGGTCACATCTACTTCTGTTTCATCCTGAGGTTTCTCGCCTGAATTAAAACAACAAGATCGTGTAACATAAGTCACTTTTCCTGTTGCTTTTCTGACACTTGTTTTGGCTGTTGGCACGTCCATTCTGCCTGTGATATCCAGGCAGAAAACTACTGCTTTTGCTGCCGAGTGCTTTTCTACCCATTTAGTGTGCTACAGATTCACCAAGGAGTAAGATAAGCACCAAAAGCAATGCAAGGCAGATCGCAGGTGCATGTATAGCTGGATGAAAGGTGTAAAATAAGTTCAGCTGGATTGGGACTCCCCACTGTTTGCCTATACACTACCAAACACCTGAAATAGGCAGACATCAATGCAGCTGACAGAAGGGGGTAGGAATGCATGGCCAAGCATTCCAGGAGCTGGAACACCCTTCGTGGCAGTGGACTGCACATCCATCTTATTATAGCTGCCATGGCACTGCAGCCTAGAAGGACGACCCGCCTGCAGTGGAGCTCACGACGTGTCTTCATGGGCTCTGAGGCAGCTAACACGACTGTACAGCTGTATTAATGAACTGCGCAAAAGAGTTGATATTTACATAAACATTTTAGATTGCTTCTTATGTTAAAAGAAATGTCACAAGTAATAATGTAACATCTGTCTATATAATTTACTAAGTATCTTCTATAGAGCTTTGACTATTATGGGAGAGACTATGAAGACGACACTTATTAAGGAGGCTCTGTCAAATGGAGATGCACTTTTTTCACACTAATTTTTTTCCTACTACAAAGATGTCCTCTTCAAACGTTCAATCTTCACAGTATTGCAAATATCAAATGAAGGTCATTTCACTGGTTCAAAAAAAGAGTCAGAATGACTCACTTGAGTATTATTCCCCCTATGAAGCGCTTATACAATCAATACATGATTTTTGTTAGAAGTTAAGTGGGTCTGATTTGGTTTAATCATTTCACCATCTGTAAGCTACCACAGCTAACTGCAATACACTTACAATGCAAACCAAAACTGATTTTTCAGATTAAGTTTATTATTCACTAAGCTAAATGAAACATTTTATTTTGTAAAGTAACTTCATTCTTTTAAGAGCAATCTCTTAAAAGCTCTGAACAGAGGAAGTAAAAGGTGAAAATGCTATTAAGTGTCTACTTGCTTATGCTCAAATTCACTCTGCTCATCCCTTTCCCATAACATCAACTGTTCCCAAACATGAGGAGGGTTACAGAAGACACAAACCATAAAATCTTCATATATAATATGAAATCATACATAATCAGATCAAATTTCATTGTGGTAATTGGACCTACCACTCCTCCTTTCTATAAGCTGAAATCTTTTATTTTCAGTAATTTTGGGAAAAACACACATGACCCCTGAGAGCTTGAAGCACATGTGTTATTTTTTCAAAGTACAGAGAACAATCTGTTTTTTCTGTTAAGCTCTTTCGCCATGCTGTCCAATGCAGAGAATCAAATACTTCATTTACTATCTCTATATTTAAAGGATCTTGGAGATGAAAGCTAAGATTTCAACCTTTTGTTTAAGATTAGTCACTAAAGGTTGCACAGGTGCAAATTTAAGTGTTCTCATTTACTGTTAGCCTTCTGAATGTCCTGTAGATTGGTGTAAGTAAAAGCTTCATTATGTTTGACTAAGAAGCCCACAAAACATTAAAACATGTAACATTAAAAGTGTCTAATCATTCTGCATTCCATTTTATGCTTCTGCCAGCACCATACTGGAACATGGGATATAGAAATGCCAGGAACAAGTTAAGAGGGATGACTTGCATTAGCAAGGCAAAATTCAGAAAGATTGCTTGTAATTTAACAAGTTGAATGTGCTTACTCTTCTGCAAAAATTGCACCTTCTCCTTCTTTGGTACCTGTGTCTATGTGATTTTTTAAAATTTTTTTTTTAACTTAAAATTTCTCAGCATTGCTGCCATTCATTTAGCTCCAGTGTAGCAAGAACTAACAGAGTGCAGAATAGATCAAGTGACAGCAGCCATTAGCAATAACTTCTGTACCATCAATAATGAGAAGCTTCTAAATTTTCAACTGATGAGGTTTCCATTATAGATGCCATGGAGCTGACCCAAGGGACCACATTCAGAGAGAAAACTATTCTTACTGGGTAGACAGGAGCAGACAATATTCAGTTTCTGAGAACACAAGGCTTCCAGTGATAACTTGCTTTTCTTTGTCAACACATGGATACATAAAGGATAAGGGTCCAGATTAGGTAAGTATAAATTTGATGACAGCTTAATGATGAACAAGAATTGCTCCCCACAGGTTGCCCATAGGCACAACTGTTTAATTTAGCCAGAAACTACAGTTGTGAATTTGAGACTTAGACAGCTTTAAGCCAAAGACTACCACCAGCTGAGCTGCTATTGCTATTCAGTCAGGAGGGCAGGGGAAGACAAACATGCCTGCACATAGTATTTTGTCATTGGACTGCTTTTGATGCTAAAGGAAACAGTCTTTTTTTTTTTTTTCCTTCTAGCCCCTTACACTCAAGGCATCCATATTCAGAACAGAACTTAGTCTATTTTTACCACTTCAAAATTTTATCCAACATTGTTAAATTAGTAAGGGGTCTTCAATATAAGGAGAAATTGCTTCAGCCAACTTACATTCTATTCTAAGGTAAACTCTTTCATTTAAATAAATCAAACTAAATATGAAAAAGAAATACTGTGTGCCACTGCTTTGTCGATCCACACTACCTTTTCACAGGTTCTGTCTGCACAAGTGCTGCATCTGTCATGGCTTTCATCCACAGCTCCATTTCCTTCCCTGTATCTGTGCAGAAATAATAGGTCCTCATGTTTGGATGAGCTGCCTGATTGGAAATGACATGGTCATTGCAATAAAAATATAAGATCCTGTAAAAGAAAAGAGGCAAATAATGTTACCGTATACTCACTCTAATGTTTACTATAATAAGATTTCTGCAAATAATATTATCAGAAAAAACATCAGAAGGAACACTTCAATGTTTGTCTGTCACTGCATTCATATTTTCAAAATAATTCCCTACAATTTTCAATCATAGCTGCTTCTTCATTAGTACGCTCAATAAAAAGCCCTTAAATTTCTTCAATCTATTAAAAACTATCTTGACTATCCATTAATGTAAATTATATTAATTATTATAAATAAGATTTTGGCATAGATTTTTGCAGTCTGAATGATACTGTAAGTTTTAATTTGTACTTACCATTGTCAATAAACGATGTGTTGCTTAGGAGGCCAAAAGAAGAGCCAAAAGGAGCTCATAAAACAACAACAACAAAAAGTCAAGAGAAAATATTTAGCAGAGTGATTTATATCATGATTAAAAACATTAGCTGTGAAACACTCCTAACAATGATTCACGTAATATTATGACTCAATTGATAATAAAACCTTATTTTTATTTATATGTAAAGATACTTTGTATCTAAAGAGCTTTAATTAGTGGGTAAGTCCAGCTGCAGATGCATCTACAATTCTAAACCAACACACAGTATTTAAGATCCATGAACTAAAAATAAAAGACTAATAATAAGTGATATTCATCCATTTTCTCTGATAGTTATGTCTACAGTTACATCAGGCTAAATACCTGAATCCTCTGCTATTATATCATGCAAAAATCAGTCTCAGAAGCTGTTTGTCAATCCTCTTTTGCATAACTACTCAGTAAAATGAGTTCTGATCACTAGGCTATTGTGCTTTCGGACATAAAATTAAACTGAAAAATTGATTCCCTTACCTTGAAGGCATATTTCCGGTTAATATGGTCCTCAGCAGAAAGGACAGATATCTGAAAACTAGGTAGAAGAATGCTACCTAGTATTCCTTCTTCTTTCTCATCTGTGAATAAATAGTCTTTGATTAGAGAAACAAAGTGTTTTGACACATAATACTTGTATTCAGACACTTCAGTGAAACTCTGTATTTAACAACACAAGACCACTACCAAGAAGTTTACCTCGGAAAAAAATGCATCAGAGAATCAGAAAGCCCGACTGATTTGTTGTGCAGGTGCCTGTACAGAGTCTCAGAAGGGTGCAGACCACAAGAGCAATTGTGCAGCCCCCCTCTGCCAACACACGCCACGGGACGTGTACCGCACAAGTGTGTGCCCCCCAAAACCTGCTAAGCACCGTGAAATCTCGGCCACCTGAAAACGGCCACCTTTGACTTTTTCCCAAGATGGACAAGCATAACCTGCCCCCCCGCCCCCGAGTGTGCTAGTTTGCAAAAGTTGAAGCACGTGAGCTACTTTATGGAATCTGCCTTATGCAAAACACCACGAGTGGATATGCCTAGAGCTTTCTGGGATCAGTGCTCACCTGCATATGAGTTCAAAACTGAAAAGCAGATGGAAGTCAAGCCTCTAATTCAGTGACAAGAACAATACTTGCTATCTATTGCCTGCTCAGTAAAAATTGCAAATACCTATGAGAGCAGAAGTATTTTAAAATACTGCTTCTGATTGTTGGCCTCAGAGAAAATTTGCACGTTCTTCTTATGATATTGGGCATATCAAGCTACAAGTTTTTATAATTCCCATGAAGAGTTTACACTCAGTTACATTCTATTTGTAAGAATTCATGTTTCAGATAATTTGTAAAAAACAAACTCTCCCCCCAAACAAACACCCTTTTTCCAGAACCTTGTTTTACATAAAATTTTAGAACAATACATTGTAATAATAAGTTGACATTTTAATTGGGAACCACAACCAGCTCTTTAATCCAATTATACTTTAATAAAGGAATAATTGGATGCAATTCACAAAGTCAATCTTAATTCTATTTCAGATACAGAACTTCTATTTACAACCCGTATCTTAGGACACTGTCCCCCATAACACTTCCTTTAGTTGAAGATACTGCCCACAACAAATGACTATGTATCTATGAAATTAAGATGAAAACATAGATATTCCAAAGTTTCAAGCATGGAAAATTAATAGCTACAATTAAAATACATGTCAACAGCACAAAAGAACTCCCTCTCATACACGGATTTACAAATCTTTTCCCGGTTCTCATTTACTCACTAAATTCTGAAAAGCCACAACTCTCATTTAAGTTATTCATATGGGGAAAGCTCTGCTGAGCCATTTTAGTATTACATGACATGTTAGATGTAAAAATTATGCTTTCTTGGATAGTAATTTAATTGGAGAACTGACCATAAAATTATTCTGATTAAAAGGTAGAAAAGAAATGAAGGGAGTGGATTTACTTTCAGGTAGTCAACTGTATTCATAAGTAAGCCTGAATCCATCCCACCTTCTCCTCTCAATTATTTACTCCTTGCTAGCCCCACACATGAAAAAAATCTGCCTTTTTTTCCCTGTCCCAGAACGCATAGCAAATGTTGGGGTTCACTTTATTTGGACTGCTGTTTTTGGGAAAAATTCCCTTCTTCTGCTAGATTACACTTTGACTTATTACTAAGTCACACCCACTAGTGCCATATAGAAGCATTAAGCATTTTTCTTCCACTGAACAGCTGCATGTCTGGAGGACTTTAGTCTCTGTTAAAGACATACTGCTACATTCCATTTCTAGATTTTAAAAATGTGTTTCCAATCAGACTAGCTTTTATCTACACATTACACTGTACCATACCCATCTTTACTTGTATGCTGTGTATGAATAATACAAGAGAAAAATAGCAGATCTTCTGTCTAGCTCTAAGATCTTTTATTTGTTGCAACAATAACCTTCCAATATGAAAGCAGGCAGTCTTTTATCCCTCCGTGAAACAGAAAACCAGTATTCTCTAAGCTCCAAAAAAATACAATGAAATAATTTTTCTTTTCATCTATAAATTAGATTTAAGCTGCTAACATTGTAACACAACTGTAAAAGTTCAGTAAGATTTGCTAACAAAACCAAAAAAACACCCCCCAAAACCCCAACAACCACAATCGCACAAACAGAAACACTGTTTGCGATCTGGGAATAAGTGCATGGCTCCCCCCTTCCCATTTTTTCAATATCTGAGACAGAATTAACAAAAATGTAAAAGCACATGTTTTAGAGCGCAAGTTTTTTATATTTTAGTAGTCAATTCTAATACCTTTAAGACTATCACTATACATGTTTAATTACAGTTTATCTGCTTTAACTGCTTTCTGTTAAGTGAGTGATAGCTAAAAGCTAAGTTTATCATGTAAACAATTTAGACTATTCTGCTTGTATTTCAGCTTATTTGGCACACTAACATGTAGAAATGAAAAAGTAAGATTATAGAGCTGTTTCGATTTATTTTATTTGTTGTTGGTTTTGCTTATTGCTTTTTGTTTTATTTTGAGATACTTCATGTGCAGTGCTTTAAGTCAATTTAATTTGTTCTTAAGGCAGCTATAAAGCAGCATTGTCTTTAGACCCTTTGGAAGGCAGAGCCTGAAGACTTGTTTAAAAAAGAAAACCCTATAAAAGCACAGAGTATATAATGACCGCTTAATTAAATGCAGTGTAACTGTATCACAATCAATGTCTCCATGACTGAAATTATAGCCTAATTTTGACTCAGCAGTGGTTTACCCAACATCTATACTTCTTGGGGTAAAGAAACAAAGCCTAATGATTATATTTCAGTAATTCAGAATTTGTTAACTAAAACAGTTAAACAGTTACAGAGCTTTTATATTTCATGACCTGATTTGTCTTGATTAGATTAGAACCATGCTGCACATTAACAGAACAGCATTTTAAAGTCATCAGTCACTGCTCTCAGCATCACCAGCATCAACATCGCTTCTACCAGTTCTAAAGTCTCATCCTAAACTGAAACCCTTTCTTATCCTTCATCTGTAGTTAAGGCTGTAGATGGCCTTAACTGTTTATCTTCCTCTATTTTGCCATGCTTTACAATGTTCTTTGCTCATAGCCTCCTTTAAACTATTACGGCTGTACACCTTATTTCAGGATTGAATACATTTCCATATGCACAAATCCCATTTGCTTATCCCCTCAGGAGCACTACATTTAATAATCTGTAATGGTGAAGGAATCAGTTTTCTAACATACATATCTCCAGACTAGAATTATAAGCAGCTAATTTTTCCCATGTAAAATAAGTCTGATGTAGCTACATAAGGGTACTAACAGATTTCTTTGTTCCAAATACAGCAGAGACTTCTACTGATATGGAATTAGACAACATTTCACTTTATAAGTATTCATGAACACTGATTAGATTCCCAAAATGCATATATATTCTCTTTATCATTCCAAAGGCAGAGTTTCAGCTCCCCTGCACTATCCCTTTCCTATCCCCATTTCAGTTACTTAGTTTGCATGCAAAATCAGATTTAACCTGGCATATCTAGTTCCTAGCAACAGAAATAGTGAGAAAACTACGATACAGAATTTAATAAAAGAGGTGGCTGTGAATGGGTTTGCCCTTTGAGCATACCTGACGAGCAGGAAGCAATTATGTGAAATTGGTAATTAAGAAAGAAAAAAAAAAAAAAAAAAAAGAAGATAAAAGTAGCAGGCCTGTATATTGACAGCTATACAACTACTTTAATCCATTAAATTAAGTAGCAGCTTCTTCTTTCTTACATTTGAGTCGTGTGTCAAAATGTATCTGCTTCCAGTAAAACTAGCAAACAAAGCTCTCCTGAGTGGAACTTACCTCTGTAATAGAAGAGACACAGATCTGAGAGCACAAACCACCGTTTCTTCCACAACTTCATTCCAGTGCTATCCTGTATTAATCAAAGTGATCAAGTAAGAACTTTCAAACTGTTAACAGCAATAGTTCATAAAGTAAACCAAGTTATACATAACTGTGGTATGTGCTAGTAGTTCCTTTTCTTGGCTAAGATATTTTAAGTATCTTTGACTTCTCATCACCTACTTGACACTGCAAACAAAGATCATAGCCCAGGAAGCCTAAAGTTAACATGATTCAAGAACAGGAGCTGATTATTTTAGCATGCTAGAGACTACATTCTACAGTTAACCAAAAAAATGTATACTTTTTTTTTAAAAAGGAAAAGAGCAAGGTAGTAATTGGGGTACATCATCCTTTGTTTTCTGAAGAAACTCTCTGCTGAGCTTCATCTTCTACTACCACTCATATCTAGAGGAAATTTCTTTCCCAAATAAAGTTTATTCATAAAGCAATTTCATTTTCTTTTATGCTTATAACCAATTTACACTGCACAACTCGGAATGAAAGACTGCCACCGCTACTGCAGTGTAAATAAGCCAGAGCATTGCAGCACGCACATCCTAGTAGAATCAGATTTAATAAATATGTTAATCTGTTCCAAGAAGAAAACTACATGTGAATTATCAATATTCCTGTAGGAAATAGGTTTTGTGACAACCAAGAAGAGGGATTCTATAATGAAAAACTGTGGGGTGGGGTGGATTTGTTTTTGGGGTTCTTTGGGGGGTTTTTTTGAGAAAATTCAGCATAATTTTTAGCATCATACTTCAAGCTCTGCTCTTTTTGGGGTGAGGAAAGTAAGCTGAAGGTGGGAGAAGAAAGGGTGAAGCAAGCATTAGCTAGGAAATATTATTCAGAAAAAGTTAAAAACATCCTTTTGCTACAAACATTTTCATAAATAGAATAACTAAACACTTTATAGCACCTTCCTTCTGAGGACCTCAAAGTGGTTTAACAACCACTAATGAAGTCTGGAAGCACTGCCCATAGCAGTCAGCTCCTATTTCCCAGCTGGAAAGGCAGACACGAGGAGGGGAGGCTGCCTTCCTCACCTCACTGACAAGGTCACTGACTCTGTAGTCGATTAGGATGCTGAACCCCTGGCCCAGAGGACACTGGCCATAAAAATCAACCGTACGCTGTGAAAATACCCAAACTTCTTCAGTATAAAGGATTATCACAAACCCTCAGACGGACTTTCTGAAGAGGCTGTTATGCAACGTCACATTTATCCCATCACTCAAAAACACCAGCAGGTTTCTATGCAGCCACGTGTAAAAATTCTGCCAGCAATTAGACAAGCTAGGAATGATCTTTTGGCCTTCTTCAGACATAGCAGAGGCACACACAAAATGACTGTGTGCTTCTCATATTTTAAATTCTTTCCTATTTTAAAGTACATCCTTTCTGTATCAGTGGATTAACTAATTATTGTTTCCTCTTTATTGTGATTATGTCATAATACGGTAACAGTATGTTCACAGTAAACACCTTCCAAAAAAAGAGTTGACTCCAGACTTAAAAATTAGTAGAAAAATGACAGAATGTCATGGTTTAACCCCAGCCAGCAACTAAGCACCACGCAGCCGCTCACTCACTCCCCCCTCGCCCAGCGGGATGGGGGAGAAAAATCAGGAAAAGAAGTAAAACTCGTGGGTTGAGAGAAGAACGATTTAATAGAACAGAAGAAACTAATAATGATAAAGATAACACTAATAAAATGACAGCAGCAATAATAAAAGGATTTGAATATACAAATGATGCACAGTGCAATTGCTCACCACCCGCCGATCGACGCCCAGTTAGTCCCCGAGAGGCGATCCCCCCCGCCCCCACCCTGCCCAGCTCCTATACTAGATGGGACGTCCCATGGTATGGAATACACCGTTGGCCAGTTTGGGTCAGCTGTCCTGGCTGTGTCCTCTGCCAACTTGTGCTCCTCCAGCCTTCTCACTGGTTGGGCAGGAGAAGCTGAAAACTCCTTGACTCAGTCTAAACACTACTTAGCAACAGCTGAAAACATCAGTGTGTTATCAACATTCTTCGCATACTGAACCCAAAACATAGCACTATATCAGCTAGTAGAAAGACAATTAACTCTATCCCAGCTGAAACCAGGACACAGAACAGCATTACACGCAATGAGACAGCACACCCCGAGTCAAACAAAACTTGCCGTTCTCTGTGATTACACAAACATGTTAAGAAAGTTATCTTACTATTAAAAAGAAACCTGCACAAGCTTTCACTGTAAATTTCTGAAGATAGCATCTGTTGGTAAAGCTCTTGACTAAATTGCCTTTCAATTACTACTACAACATGGAAACATACAGCAATGCCTTTTCTTACCAAAAACAATCAAACATCACAGCATTTAAATCATTTTACACATGAACCCTGTCCAATGGTATGCATTTTGACAGTGAGGTAGATTGAAAACTGGTTGAACTACCAGGCCCAGAGGGTGGTGATCAGTGGCACCAGAGGCAGCCAGTTGCTAGTGGTCTATCCCAGGGGTTGATACTGTGGCCAAGACTATTTAATATCTTTGTTAATGACCTGCACACTGGGACAGAATGAGTCCTCAGCAAGTTTGCAGGTAATACAAACTATAAAGGAGTTGCTGATACACCAGACCGTTGTGCTGTCATTCAGAGGGACCTCAACAGGAAGAATCTCATCAAGTTCAACAAAGGGCAATGCTCAGTCCTCCATCTAGAGAGGAACAACCCCATGCACCAGTACACACCAGAGCTGATCAACTAAAAAGGAGCTCTGTGGAGAAGGACCTGGGGGGTCCTGGTGGACAACAACTGATCATGAGCCAGCAATGGACCCTCATGGCAGAGGTGGCCAAGAGCATCCTGGACTGCATTAGCAGGGTTGCCAACAGATGGAGGGAGGACATCCTTCTTCTCGACTCAGCACTACTGGGGTCTAGCTGGAGTGCTGGGTTCAGTGCTGGGCTCACTGGTACAAGAGAAACATGAACATACTGGAGTGAATCCAGCAAAGGGCCACAGAGATGGTTAAGGGATTGAAGCACCTTTCATGTGAAGAAAGGCTGAGAGAGCTGGGACTGCTCAGTCTGGAGAAAGGGCAGCTTGGGGGCATCTTACCAACATGTATAAATACCTGATGGAAGAGTGTAAAGAAGACAGAGCCAAACTCTTCCCAGTGGTGCCCAGTGACATGACAAGAGGCAATGGGCACAAATTAAGAAACATGAAATTCCACCTGAGCAGAGGTAAACTTTTTTTGTGTGAGAGTGATCAAACACTGGCACAGTTGGTTGCCCAGAGAGGTTGTGGTGCAGTCTCCATCTGTGAGGATATTCAAAACCTGGCTGGACACAGTCCTGGACAACCTGCTCTAGCTGAGCCTGCTTGAGCAGGGGAGGTTGTGCTAGATGATCAAGAGGACCCTTCCAACCATCATAATTCTGTGATCTTAAAGTATAGCTACTGTTTCTTCATTAGTAAAATAATGTAATTGTACACTAAAATGGACTTGGTAATATGAACATAGAGTATAATTTTTCAGAAAGCAACATCTTTGTACTACTTTATGTGTTGAATATCCATGGTTTGATGTAAAACAAGAGACATAAATCAGCTATAATCTTTAGAGCATTCCAGTAAGTTAGTTCAGGTACATAACCATATCTTTTCATACATGTAAAACTCACTACAAAGGACTTCAGAATAAAAAGCCAGATCATCATGAATCTAACTTATTCAGAAGTAGGCAGCAAAGACAAACTAACAGATACTTATGAGCACAACCACCTGTGCTATAATCCAGACTTCATATGTCAATCAAATTAACTGATTGTCTCATTTAATTAAAAAATCCAGAAAATGTTACTTTAGGAAAAGAGTGAATTTTTTTTCAAGCTAAAAAGTTTAATAGCCCCAAAACAAAGCAAAAAAATCTGTCACCTTTGTGACAACTTTTCACTCTCAACACTGAATGAGAGCAGAGGCCACAAGAGTATCTAAACATAGAAAAATCTACTAAACAGATACTTCTAGACTTTTTATCTGATAGTAATTTTTAAAAACTGACTCATCAACAGCATCCAGAAAGCTCTGTGGGTCATACCAGTCTATCAGAGTAGCAACAGTAAATGAATGTAGATTCAAAACTACATGTACACATTTGCCTCAGCTGAGTTTAAATGGCAAGTTGTTACAGGGTTCTTGGTGGATTTATAAAATATATTCCTAATATGGCCTAATCAGTTTTGTTGTTCAATTTTTTGACCAAATTACTCTACTCTGATTTCCTGCAGAGCAAGAAAGTGCAAGTGGTCTGGTATGGCAGAATAGCAAATCTACAACAGGGTAGGTACAGTGTCACTAAATACTAAAGAGCACATACTTCAGATTAGTTTACATTCGATAGGAAAAACTAAAATGATCTCTGGTTTTAAGATAATTATCTTTGAGTTAAGAAAACAGGCATTCCTCTCTTTTTGTATGTGAAAAAATTGCGTGACTTCCAATTTGTTATTGAAAATACCTACTTACTCTTTAAAAAAAACATTAAGAGATACAGTCTACCAAAAGAAACTTCAGAATTTAAAAAACCAGTATGTTGGGCTTAGTATCCTTGTCCCATCACCTCAGCATGCCTGAAATTAATTCAGCTATTTACTAAAAACATCTGCCTAGATTTTTCAAGCCCTTTGTGTATTTTAGACAGAAATATAATATATCAATGTTCTGCACTTGTCTGATGCCCTTATTCATTTGTATCAGAATGTTATCCAATAAATAGCTAATTAATTAAAATACCATGTGTCAGTTCGTCACAGTTTATAGTTTCACTCTGATATTGCTATTATTGTAGTTTATGCCAATGATTGGTTTTTGTACATTATATACTTTACCAAAAAAAAAAAAAAAAAAAAAGGTGAAGAGGGGAAGAGTACCTGTTTGTAGAGCCAGCCACGTCTGACAACTGGTGCATTAGGATTTCTCTTTATTGAATTTGATCTCTTTCCAAAATTATGAACCTTCTTTGAAGATCGTGATGTCTAAATTGAATCGAACAGGTTAAAGAAAACATGACATCAATATCTGTTGAAAAATCATAACACATTTTCTTTTCTTTAAGATCTTTTTCTTGCACATGTTCCTCCGGGGCACTGCAGAATACAAACTGTATTGTTTTTTTAGATAAATAATTATTATGATGGTTCTGCTGGCTTCAGCATTTCTTTCTTTTCCTCTGCAGAAAATTTAAAGACAAATCCCAAGACAAGTAGGTAAAGCTTTTTTTTTTTTTTTTTAAACAAGAAAAACCAACAAAATACATATCTGACCTTCTTATAAGGTAGGTAGCCTACCAAGCTGTAGAAAGAGAAGTAAAACTAACAGAACTATTATAAATTATGAAAAATTCCATCACTTGGGCAAGAAAATGCTACTCTTTCCTGCTTCCAACACTGGCCTAATATATGCAAACATGTTCAGATTTCAACAAGATGTAACTCCCCCTTTTCTAACATACACTAAATTTTTTTAATTCTTTCTTCCCTCTCAAGAACCATTTGCTCTGTGATCCCTTGGCTGGTTTGAATATTCATTATTTTACCTGCTTGCACTAAGGCCTACTTTGAAACATTTGCCCTGAAACTCCAGTGCTTACTTATATCTGCTGTTGCTTATACTTTTTACAACCTTACAGCTACACCATGATCACAGATGATGAAGAGAAGTAAGATAAATATGCCATTTTAGATTTTAGCCTTCTACTCGAGTAACCAAGAGAAATAGGAAAAGGCATAAAGAAACGTGCAGTGCTTTGCCAATTCACACTTCATTCTTTTCCGCCTACATTTAGAAAGTTTGTTCTGCAACTGAGCTGAACGTTCGTGTTTTACATTCTGTAAGAACTGGTGCCTCAGAGAGCATGCAATGTGATACAGCAAAAGTATCCCACTCTGCAAAGGAAGTAAAGTTCAAATAAGTTTAAGCTGTGTTCATGGCTCTGCTCCAAATCCACCATTTGAACTGAGACAATATAATCCTGTGCTTCAGCTTCCCCATCTCTACTACTGAAATGAATCATAAGGTTATGCAAAGTTCCTAAAGGAGGAAGGCTAATCAAACACTCGGTTTTCGCTGCAGATTAGGGTATGGGGTTTTTCTATGGAAATTCTCTCAACACACATCACAGAACTCGGTTGGGTTTTATACACGCTTCAGAGAGAATTCCACAGTAGGTTAAAAATCATAAACTGAAAACTGCAATTTAAAATGATGTGCAGCTTTTGTCAACAATGCCATTAACTGAAGAATATAACATAGCTTAGCCAAAAAAGCGTAATATTACAAAAACTACGTGTGTTTGCCTTAAGCCTACAACACAATGAAACAATGTAGTTTTGTATTTCTTTTTTGAAAGAATCAGGAGGGAATATAAAAACAATCAGAGTGCTTTTAATTTCCCTTGGAGATACAGAAATTTGACTCAACTCTGTTTGGAAACCTAATTAAAAGTAAAAGTCTTTCACATTTTCATCTGAACAATTCTACCAGTACAAAATGGACAAAGGTTTGTAAGAAGCCAAGAGACTTATGACATCCAGCTGTAAAAAAAGGGAATATACAGAGAACCTATATAACAAACCAGAGCACATTATAAAGTTAGCTACATCTATCTCATTTAACCTGTATGGCTACTATATTGGCATATCACACCAGAACTGTGCCAAGATTTTAATCAGAAATAATTTATAACACTCATAGCTGCTTTAATATTAGGTATTAAAGGTTCAAAACCTCTCAAGAGTGTTCCAGACTTCCTATGCTTATAAAATGGCTAATGCATTAAGGATGCTTCTGAAAACAAAACCAACCACAAGTACTACTAATGCCAAGTCTACCAACAAATTCAGATAATTTAGATAGGCATCTCTTAGGTAGGTCTGATAATAAACCATATTGACTCCATTTTCACTGAGCTCACAGCTAAGTTTTAATGAGTTACATCTTACCAACTGTGAATACAAACTTCCTTTAATTAAACACAGCATCACAAGTGCTTTCTAATTTTAGTTAATACAGAGAACACTTCAGATGACTCGTGATTATTTTACCACACACTGCATAAAGAGAATAACTGTTCACAACAAATTTTGAGCCTTAAGACAATGAGTATTTTAGGATATTGAAATATCATAGGTGTATACATAAACTCAAACTTTTTAGATCACCTCCGGCTCTTGTTATGTCTGGGATCCCTGGCCATCCCATATTCTCTCACACACATGCCTAATATATCTCAAACTGGGGAAACAGGAAGAAAGGAAAAAAATAAAATCGAAGGGTTCAACTATTTACCCCACAGCCCTAAAAATACAGGGCATACTGCACAGCTCCAGCTTCTGGAAAAAGCAAAGAGAAAAGGAGGAGAGTGAATGAAGGGTCCAACTACTAACCACTTGCTGGAAGGTGCAGAAGGTAACGGAGCTAGCAAACTCCCAGTCACATCTGGCGCCATCTGACCCATTCTAAGGAACGGTCCCAGCGACTGTCGTGCCTCCAAACCCAGAACCTACGGGAGGGACCCTGTACAGTTCCAGTACTGAGAAAGAAGCCAGGAAGTCCAGCCAGTGATATCCACTCTTTCCCAAACCTGAAGAAAACAACCACTGGCAGGGTTTTGAACTCTGGGCAACAGTCCAGTCAGTAGCTGGGCCTGCACACTTCATCGCTCTGCAAGCTGCTCTTCTCTCTGCTTAGCTGGTAGAGGACACAGAATTTCTGTGAGGCTTCTTCCCAATTTCAGAACTAGCACAAAAGTAATTAATTAACACTAAGCTTCTTGTGTCTACGTTTGAAAAACATGGGTTGAGAACCTTGCTGATAAGGAAGTTTTCTGCATGTAAACTCAAAGAATGGAAATCTAAATCTTTGTTACTTTCAACTTCTGTTTAAAAATACGTTTCCACTCTTCAAGTCTTACATTATCTTCCAAACCACAAACCAACATGATGCTGCCTTCTGAATTTTGTCGGCGATTTCAGCGCCTTCCAATGTTGCAGTTTTCCATGAGCTGAGTGGGTTTCTGCCTCAGCATTTTAGCTTGGACCAGGAGGTTGCTCTTGAAGCAAATCTCCCAATCATTCACTCTTATTGTGCTTTGGTTTGCATAGTACAGCAAACTGGATTTATTTTTAGATAAGACTAAAATGTAAGATGCACAAGGAGCACTACTGGACTCATCCGAATATAAACCATGAAAACACAGTACAGGCGTTGAGCCCCGAGCAGCAATACTTTGCCCTTCACACTGCTCCTGTTCACTATGCTGTTTGCTACTGTATCTCAGGACTGAGACTCCAAAATTTCTGGCTAACCTGAATCCTGAGAAGACATGTATGGCTATACCTAAACTAGCCATTTAAAGCTGGACTAGCTTAAGCACTGTATGAAATATCTATAAACAAACAATATTTATAACCCACGTGAAACATCCTAGCTGTAATGGAGACATGAGGAGCTCTGCAGCAGCTGTACTGGGCTAACACTCCATTACACTCACTGTGAGAAAACTTTTAGCTTTATTCTGCTGATAATCAGGACAGCAATAAAGAGCAGGAAAGATGAACTGTGGGGTGTGACTGGTAATATGACAGACTTTACACATTCAAAAGCTGATTCCCTGAATGCATTTCAGGACGCATAATCATATTTGTCTAGGTAGCGATTTTTACAGTGGGGAAAAAAACCAAAATAAAAAGATAACTACAAAAACAACTTCTTAATTTTAAAAAGAGGGGTGGAAATATATACCTCTGTAGCAATCTCAAGCCTATGTAGATCTTCTTCCACAGTCAGAGGTCTGTGCTAGTGGCCTGAAGTTTAGAAATACACTTCAAGCTAATAGGGAAGTAGCAGCACTTAACAGAGCTGTAGTGTGTTAGTTGGCCAGCATTACGTATATATAGCATTAAACTCCAGTGAGACTTTCACCCACAAAATAGTGAAGTTCTGTATCTATTTGAGATCAATTAACATTAAAGAAAGGGAGAACTTATTTCTACACCCCCTGAATTGTCTGAAACTTTAGTTGTACCACAAACTTTTCTTCCATTCCTCATCACCTTCCAATATTATGTGTGTTTATGAGCTATCTCTGAAAACAGAAACACCTAAAAAACAGGTGTGGCAACCACATGAAGCATTCTTCTGCTCTGTAATTTACTTTCCTCATCAATATTTTACTCCTCTTATTGTGCTGCAAAACACACAGACTCTACATATCATATTCAAAGGTTGATAAGACAGCTAAGAATTTCAGGTTCTACTGTTAGGAGATATGAATAAAAACATAGAAGAAAATCAGTTATTGTATCCAGGTACAACCAGTGGGCAATTTCTGTATAGTTATCTTTAAAAATAATTGAACTCATTAGCTTTAAATAACCGCCAGAAAATGCTGACTAATATCAGCTGTGGTTCTACTTTGCAAGCATTCATCTCCTGAAAACAAAATTTTTTAAATGGTGTTGCAGTAATTCACACAAATTTACATTTGAAAACTGATGTACAGTAATTGTACATACAGTCACAGTAATCATATTAATATTTTAAGTGCATTTAAATAACTGGAACAGACAGGAGGAATGAAAAATGGAATAAAAGTCTATTTTTTCAAAATATAGTATTTTCCACGGGAAGCTAAAGTGTCATTAATCATTGAAAGTAAAGAAATTACAATAACCAGGCCATAGCACTCTTGATTTCCTTCTAGAACACTATGAAACAAACATGCTAAAGGGCATTTTAAACTTCTCTTTTGAAAGAGGAGTGTGAAAAATACATTTGCAAAACATGTGCTCCTAAATTGTAGTTCATTTCCTCATTTAACCTGAGAGTGCTTCCTAGCTAGTTCTGTTGTAATTCATCTTCTGTGCGAGGATTGCAATCTATGTCACTATTACAACTCTGTCTTGGGCTTTTTGTTTGCTTGGTTGTTTTAGGGCTTAGCTGGGTTTGTTTTTTGTTGTTGTTGTTTGGGGTTTTCCTAGTTTGTTTTGTTTTGCTTTAAACTGGCTTTCCTGCATGGACTTAAGCATCATCATATGAAAGTTGAGATGGATTTTGTTACTGTTTATAATTTATCTGTGACTCCCCTTTCCCCCCCCCCCCCCCCCCCAGCAACACTAATAGATCAAGACATTTTCTTATTAAGTAACAATTTTCTGATGTAGGTCAAGGATTCTGCCTGTCTACTGAGACATTTAAAACAACAAAAAAATGTTTCCAAGATGTACTTAAAGTAACCTTACAATGTTCCCTACCACATGGAAAATAAATTATTTCAATCCAAGTTTCTGAAATTAAGGAATTTGCTCAGTTAAAACACCTTCCAAAGTTTATTTTTCTCTTGCAGGTTCGATTAATCTGCTGAAAAGCCCTTCTCAGGGTTGAAGTTTTCAATGACTAGCAAAAGTATGGGGTTTTTTTCCTTGTTTAAATGTTAACTGCTGGGTAGAAGAGATTACAGGGCTCTTGTCTGTCATCACTGATCAAAGTTGTTATTTTGCTGTCCGAGTAAACTTAAGGAAATTCTTAATTTTGTAGCAAGCGCACTTTCCTTTCAGGAAAGCTATCCAGAAAATGGAAAAAAAATCCACACCGCCTCGTCAGCTTTATCCAATAAACTTAGAAGTTAATATAATTGAACGCATCACTTCAATAAGCATCCGGGCATTTACCTTAACCTTCTGAGAAGTTGGGTGAATGGGGAAAGTGGGACACAAATTAAGGTGACCTAGGAATCTCTAAGACTTTTCCCAGGAATTTTCCTAGGAAACCAGGACTTCTACCTCTTGTCCAATGACAGCAAGTCATGTCATCTGCCCTGTAATTTTACCACAGGGTCACCTTCCATCTCTCTTGTAACTACTTCTTACGTACAACTATAATTCTGTCTATTTTACCTGGAGAAATCTAGTCAATTATTTGTGATTGAGCAATTTCTGTAACAATGCTTACTCAGATATTTGATCAGCCACTCAACATTTTACTGTTCACACAGATTAGAAAGGTCAGATTCTGTAAACAATTTAAGTACATGCAAGTCACAAGATCCGATATACCTGATAAAAGTTACAGCTTCAGTGATAATTTGTTTCACACACTTCAGTTTCCAAATTAAACATGAAAGGAGCCAAGTGCCCTGAAAAAAATATGTGCTTTGTTTCTCTTTTTCAATGAAATACTAATATATAGCACTGTCTAGTACCTTGTGGAATAACAGAATGATCTTAATTATAATTTAATTTTGACACACTTACTCTGCCCACAGGGCTCATTGGATGAGCAGCATAATCTGATGTCAGATTATAGTTAGTTGCTTCACATATCATGCTTACTGGTCGCTCCTTCTTTTCTTCAGATGTCATTGCTGCAGCAGTCCTGAAAATAGAATATGTAATAGCACTAGAACATGCTGTGTGTGCAGACTGCTATTAAAAAACACCCCTAGATGTAGCCTAATACAGCCCGTGTCCTACTTTTCCAATTTGAAAGCAATTCACACTTCACTGTAAAGTTACCTGCACTGTGTTTTAAACTTAAATCTATTATAGATGAATTTTAAGCCATTGTTTTAAAATAGGATTTCTGCATTCGCATAAGGTGTTGATGGGAGGAAAAAAGACAGGTATGAGCATGACATGGAAATGGGAAGAAATGGTCTCTGAAGACCCCATATGGCTTTGTCCCACTTCAGTGAGAACATGCATGTTTATGAAATTTCACATATTGCAGTTCTGATGGTTTTCACTCTAGCAACTGTATAATGTGTTGCAGCGGTGGTGGTGAGTAGGACACCCAATACCCAGCCACATGTAAAATCTTGAGGTCAGGTATGACTTCCATGCATACCTTCTCATATTGTTGTGTATTCTACAAAACCAATGCAAAGATAGCAAAACCAAGTTATTATCCAATGATACAGAAAATGTCTTGACTACAGAATAAGTAAAGTGATAAGTGGAAATTTACACAGTGCATAAATACGCTGCATTTCTATCATATAACTAATTTGGGCTATGGTTTTTATCTTAAAAATTAGTATTAAATATTTAATATTACTTTCAAATTTATTAGTATTTCAAATAATTTAAACAAGTAAAACTTTATACATGCTAATCTGACTTGGAAAAAATAAATACTGCAATTAGCAATCACTGAATCTTACTTCAATATTAACAAGTTTTAAAACATGTATTTTATAGACTGAAACAGATGCCACTTACTGTTCATTCACAACAAAAATACAGTTGTCCTGTGATGGCTGTCCGGTTACTGGATGTTTGCAGGTTACTTTTCGTTCATTATGACTGTGGAAGAGAGATAAGGAAATTATTAGGCAATGATACTTTGATTTTCCAACTCAAGTATATAAATCCAGTACATTGAGTATATCAGCCCAGTGAAAACAATTACAAATGTTTCATTACAGCATATAACAATGTACATGTACACAACACACAGATACATATATATATAAACTAACAAAAAGAATGATAACAAGTATTAAAGAATCTTCATTAATACTCTGGAAAGAGATGGGAAACATTGGCACGGGTTGGTAATGGGTTCGAATTTAAGAACTAGAGCAGTAAGTGTGTTACTAGTTCATATATAATCACCAATAATTCACTTCAGCTAAGTCTTTATATATTCATAAACAGGATTTCAGCTAGACAGGGACAAGTTAAACATAAGACATAAGCAACTGCTCTGTAGGGATGAAATATCACTACCGTGAAAGCAATTGTCTTCTAGCTTAGACCATGAAGTTACTAGTTTAAGATTTTTCAATAATTACAGATAAATATTCAGCGATGGGAACAAGAGTGATGCATCGCAATCACAGTTCTACTTTTGCTGGTGACTTTTTAATGCTGCTCCCCTGCAGCCGTCTTGGGAGTACCCTCAAGGGGCAGGGAGTCTGCCAGCTGAGGGCTTCACCCTCACCAGCACAAACACCCACTTTGCAGTATCTCCTTCCCCTGAACCACAGGTGTTGCTAGATCACAGCAGCTCCGACAATTTGGAAGCAATTGCCAAAATTCAACAATTAGCAGCCGCTGCCACTCAAGAATGAAATGTTTTGACTTGAGCCCTCCAGCCCTAGAGGGGAAGGAAGAGAAGGGGAGGAATTGCCTTTACTGCCTACCAGGCATATCAAACAGTTATAACTTGTGCCTGCTGCAGACCAGGGCTTTTCTACCCCCAGCCTCCACACAGGCGGCAGGGTCCCACCCCAGTTATGCTACGAGCACACCTGAGAGCACGAGCTACCAGCTGGCCGAGCAGCAAGACTGCGCAACGAGGAGAGGCAAGGGTGGCTGAACTGCCATAAGCCCCTCTGAACTCTCTGGCCCTGAAATGCAGGAAAGAGCAGGAAAGGTGCACTGACGAAACTGAAACGTGGTTCAGAGATTAAAAAGCATATAAGCAGAAATCAGACTAAAAAAGGGAAATGATTATATAAGGCAGATGCGTTATTTGGATATAACCCACATGCTTCAAAACAAACTGACCTGTTCTAGTTTTAACACTTTAAATAATATTTATAGACAAAGAAGTGTACAATGCAAGAAAACCAGTATCTGAAATCAGCACTAAGTCACAAAGAGAGTAAATCAATTTGTTAGTATTTACTTTTGCAAAGAATATGTGATGATAATCTTTTTCATGTAAGGTATCTTATATAACACTATGGCTTTCTTATCACAAGTTCAGCCCTGAAAAACATTCCTGGACAGAGAACCTGGACAAAAAAAAAAGTAAAAAAAAAAAAGCTGTAGTTGCAAGATAGCACAAGAGGTGCAGAACAACAAAAAGCTTTGAATGGCACTTCATCCTTAACACCTACTTCTTTTATTGCCTATTCATTTAACCTTCTTAGCTTTCAAAACTATGAAGCACAGCTCATCCAGCAAATGTTACACTCTCTACCCTTCCTGCTTCTTAAAACAACCTACACTTAACAAAGACTAACATTCCCCAGGTTTCTTGAAAATGCTTTTGGATCATAAGATTTTGCAACTATGGAGCATTACTAATTTAAAATTACCTCCAAACAAAAGCCTAATAAAAAATATTCACACTACTTTCATGGTCAATGGACAGATGAAAAACACTGCATAAACCTAAAGTGCAAGATTAGAAAGATAGCCCGATTCCTTGCACTTTCTTTACTGGGATTTTAAAAACCTACTAATATCTAAATGGCTAGACATGTTATGGAGCTTAACTAGTGAGCTGGCAAATGCTGGTACTTTATCTTCACACTAAATTCAGCAGAATTCTAAGTTTAGGTTCTAAAGAAGCTTCTGTTACAGAAATACATCCATTACAATGAGGGGACAGAAAAGAGTACATCTGTGCCATTCCGAATTGCCATGGTCCTACAAAGCCTTTCAAGTGAAAATGGCCCAGATTGAAGAGAATTAAAATTCAAAACATTCCTGAGGAAGCATCCAGGGTTTTCTGTGATTCCTCTTTTTCTTCAGTTCCAAAACCTTTCTGTTCCCTCTGACATTTCAGAAACTCTTACACCAAACTGAAAAAAAACCCCATAATTATGGAGATGAGCTGGCACTCCACAAGCTTTGCCAAAATGTTGCCATCTTGTTCACTATCAGCTGACATCCAGAAATGTAGCAATAAATGGATTAGGACTTCTGGCCAAGGACCATCTATACTCAGGACCCCTACAGAGGGGACACATGGCACATTTTGTATCAGTGCGTGCGGCTCACAGGAATGACAGAGGAAGAGTCCGTACTCAAAGGTTGTAAAGGGGAGGTCATACAAAACCAGGAGGGAAAGCAGAAAGGGGGAGGAAATTAGAGAGGAGGAGCAGCACTGACACAAATCTATTCAAGAATATTTTGTTTCGGGCTTGAGTCATATATCAAGTCAGCATTCCAAAAATTTTTGGACAAAATACGGTTTTCCTTACTACTCACACTGATGTCAAGATGTATAGAGGTGTAGCTGACATAACATAAAAGGCAAAAAAATATTGTAGACATTAAACACTCTCCTGTGGGATATACAATACTTTCTTTCTAGAGTTTGAGAGACCTTTATAGTCACTTCCTTCTAAAAAGGTGAGGCAAAGGAAGAACAACCTTTTCTTTCTCTTCAGCTTAGACACAAGTGAAATCTCATGAGTGAACACTGAAAATTCAGCTTGTACAACTAAGAAGTGTGACGACTGTAAATATGTCTAACTGGATGAATAGATTTTAAATACTTCTGTTTGAAAACTTTTTCACTACTCATCTGAATTACTGCATTTTTGGCATTAATTTAGCCGATATTTTGACAAGACTCTTCAAAATACTTGCGTAAGGTGTAGAGTAGCTTGATGATTATTATCATAACCCTCCTACATAACAGTAGGTTAAGGCATTTGTTTTAAACTCCATCTTGCAGACTACAGAGGGTTTCATTAAAGCCAAGCTACAATTTGATACTCACAATCTTCAACATCCAATTTAGACAGTTGTTCAGTCATCCATGAATTTCCGGGTCCACAAACACACTTAGTATTTCATATATTACACTATAATAATACATATCTCATCAGTAAATCTCAGGGGAAATAAAGCCAAAATTGTTTTGTTTTGTTTTTTACTGAGAACTTTAATTTCGATTTTATACAAACTCCAGTGTGTAATTCAGAGTTTCAACTCTGCATATTTATGTGTCTGTACTTTTATTATGTGGTAAAGAGTGATTCACTTTGACACAGGCAGCTAGAAGCCAGCATGTTAACTTTTTGGAGGTTGTATCTCTACACAAGCAAGAGGTACATGGAAACAATACCCTTCTTCCTTCTCTCTCCAATCAATTTTTCATATCAACGTGTTTTGAGAATACAGGGTAACTATACACACACACTGTCACACTTATACTGAAGGATATAACTGACCATTACTATTTTAGCATCCATAGTTAGGCTGTATTAATACCATGATAAACACTAGAGCCAAAGATGGAAAAAATTCCCTGTGTATTTTATTAGTATTCATGAGCATACTCTGCAGACTCAGTACATGGCACAAATTATTCCTCATTAATATTTGATACTGGGATGTGTTGGGCTCCAGAAATCGACACAGCTGACTAAGATGACATGAGAGATAAGCATTTCAATCCAAATTAAAGCATAGTTCTTGCATGTATCAAGATAATATTCTGTTCCTGATTCCAGTAGTGGCCTGGGAAAATGACCTGCTATAAAAGGATCAGAACCAAACCAAAACAAACCAACAATAAATAAATAAAAACACCCCCCACAACACAAAACCCTAACCACACCAAAATAGCTCATGCAGGGACAAGTTCCATTTGTAGCTATCTCAGTGCAAGACAA